CAGTGCCAGTGCCAGAGCCAGAGCCAGAGCCAGAGCCAGAGCCAGAGCCAGTGCCAGTGCCAGTGCCAGTGCCAGAGCCAGAGCCAGTGCCAGAGCCAGAGCCAGTGCCAGTGCCAGAGCCAGAGCCAGTGCCAGTGCCAGTGCCAGAGCCAATGCCAGAGCCAGAGCCAGAGCCAGTGCCAGTGCCAGTGCCAGAGCCAGTGCCAGAGCCAGAGCCAGAGCCAGTGCCAGTGCCAGTGCCAGAGCCAGTGCCAGAGCCAGAGCCAGTGCCAGAGCCAATTCCAGAGTCAGTGCCAATTCCAGAGCGAATTCCAGAGTCAATGCCAATTCCAGAGCCAGTGCCAGAGCCAGTGCTAGTGCCAGAGCCTCCCCAAGAAGAGCCTACAGATTCGGTCGGGGAAATCGTCGCGGCCACTAAAGAAGAGCCACAGCTGGAACCGCCTCCTGCAAATGCAGAACCAGAGCCGGTAGTCGAGGCAGTTGTGGGTGCTCAAGAAGAGATTAAGGAACAACTCGAACCCGAGCCTACCGTGGAAGAAGCTCCATTAGTCGAAGTCATCGAGACCGTTCAGGAGCCTAAGCTACAGCCGGTGGAGGAAGCCGTAGATCCCGTCGAAGTGCCTACCGAGCCCCCAACTGAGGCAGTCATAGATCCTATCGAGCCTCTTCTTATGTCAGGCACAGATCCGGTTGAAGAGAATACAGAGACTGCTGGACCTCTGGCTGAGGCAGTCATAGATCCTGTCGAAGAGACTACCGAGCCTCCTACTGAAGCAGCCATAGATCCTGTCGGACAGACTACAGAGCCTCCGAATGTGGCAGTCATAGGTACTGTCAAAGAGGCTACCGAACTTCCAACTGTGCCAGTCATAGATCCTGTCCAACAGACTACCGAACCTCCAACTGTAGCAGCCATAAATCCTATCGAGCAGACTACCGAAACTCCGATTGAGGGAGTCGCAGACCCTGTCGGAAAGACTACAGACCCTCCGAATGTGGAAGTCATAGATCCTGCTGAACAGACAACCGAACCTCCAGCTTTGGCAGTCATAGCTCCTATTGGACAGTTTACCGAGCCTCCGAATGTGGCAGTCAAAGACGCTATCGAGGAGGCTACCGAACCTCCAACTGCGGCAGTCATAGGTCCTGTTGAGCAGATTACCGAACCTCTTACTGAGGGAGTCGCAGAGCCTGTCGGGCAGACTACAGAGCCGCCGAATATGGCAGCCATAGATGATGTCGAAGATACTACAGAGCCTCCGACTGTGGCAGTCATGGATACTGTCGAAGCGGCTACCGCGCCTTCGACTAAGGCAGTCACAAATCCTGTCGAACAGACTACCGAGGCTCCGACTGTGGCAGCCACAGATCCTGTTGAAGCGGCTAACGAGCCTCCGATTGAGGCAGTCACAGATCATGCCGAAGTAGCTACCAAGCCTCCAACTGTGGCAACCATAGATTATGTCGAAGAGACTACAGAGCCTCCCACTGTGGCAGTCACAGATCTGGTCGAATCAGCTACCGAGCCTCCGACTTTGGCAGTCGCAGATCCTGTCGAACAGGCTATAGAGCCTCCGAATGTGACAGCCATAGATGATGTCAAGGGGATTACAAAGCCTGCAATTGTGGTCACAGGTACTGTCGAAGTGGCTGCCGAGCATGCGACCGGGGCAGTCGCAAATCCTGCCGAACAGACTACAGAGCCTCCGACTGTGCCGGCCGAAGATACTGTTGAAGAGATTACCGAACCTCCGACCGAGGCAGTCGCAAATCCTGTCGAACAGACTACCGAACCTTCAAATGTGGCTGCCATAAATTATACTGAAGAGACTATCGAACCCCCAAATATGGCAGTCATAAATCCCGTCGAACAGACTACCGAGCCTCTGACTGAGGTAGTCGCAGATCCTGTTGGAGGGACTACCAAGCCTCCGGCTGAGGAAGTCGCAAATCCTATCGAACAGACTACAGAGCCTCCGACTGTGGCAGCCAAAGATACTGTCGAAGAGACTACCAAGCTTCCAACTAAGCCAGTCACAGATCCTATCAGAGTGGCTACCGAGCCTCCGACTGTGGCAGTCGCAAATCCTGTCAAACAGACTACGGAGCCTCCGATTGTGACAGCCATAGATCCTGTCAGGGGGACTACCGAGCTTCCGACTAAGCCAGCCACAGATACTGTCGAAGCGGTTACGGGGCCCCCGACTGTGGCTGTTGCGAATCCTGTCGAACAGACTACCGCGCCTCCGGCTGTGGCAGTCGCAGATACTGTCAAATCGATTACCGAGCCTCCCACTGTGGCACTCATGGATCCTATCGAGCAGACTACCGAACCTCCGACTGAGGGAGTCGCAGATCCTGTCGGAGAGACTACAGAGCCTCTGAATGTGGCAGTCATAGACACTGTCGAAGAGGCTACCGAACCTCCAATCGTGGCAGCTATAGATCCTGTCGAGCAGACTACCGAACCCCTGACTGTGGCAGTCATAGATCCTGTCGAACAGACTACCGAGCCTCTGATTGAGGATGTCGTAGATCCTGTCGAAGTGCCTACTGAGTCTCCAACTGAGGCAGTTCCCCCTGAGCTAGAGCCCGTGGTCGTTGAGAAAGTGAAAGATGAACAGCAATCGGAGCCAACAACTGTCATGGATGTCATCAAGCCAGCCCCGAATGAGGCTGTGACGGAAGCGATAGTTGCAGAAGGTAATGCTCTGTTCTTTTGAGTTGAGGATTGTGAGTGCTGACGCATTTAATATAGAGAAACCATCAGCCCCCATGCTCGCAAAGGCTCAAACGGAGCCGGTCCCTTCGGTCGAAACGATCGAGTTTGTTGACGTGAACCTCCCCAAAACCCCACCTATGACGCCGCCGAGAGTACCATCACCACCATTGCCAGGGGAGGTGGTCCAAAAGACCCCAAAGCCCCGTAGTCGGGACAAAATTAGGGCGAAGTTTCCCGGCGCCGTCTTTACGGCTCTTCTCGGGCATGAAATTGCATATGGTCAGACAGATACCTCGTTGAAAAAAACAATGGGCCAGATTTTCTGACGCTGAAGCAGTCGTTATACCTCAGATTAAGGAGAAAGCTGGAAAGGTCCTAAACCAGTGACTTCGTTGGGCACAAGATGCAAACAACGAAGTCCTCATGCAGCAGAACAGCGAATCTAAGGCCCCTCCAGCGATTCCTTGCACGTCGCGCGATTCGGCCACTTACCCCTTGATATCCTCGGGTGCGTCCTCCTCCCTTGCCCCTCTCGAATCACGAGTTCATGTCTGGTCCATCAATAATCGTGTCGGTCGTGTACATACTTCGAGTACCGTTCACACATGGGAGGCTTTAACCCTACCTCCCTTCCATGGAACTTCCTATACAACTATCATCTCTGCGTTCCCCCCCTTTCATGATGGCGCAGGAAATTCTTGGGCCGGGTCTTCTCCTTCTTCTGCGCGTTCTTCATTTTCCTTCTGTTCTGCTCCATACACTCGGCCCGGGCGACGCAAGTTCGCTACGGATCCAGGGCCAGTGCCTTTGTTTGGGAGGGATTCTGGTAGGCGGCATACCCTGTCACTGTGAGATTTTTGCCTTTCTTTACTACCATCGCCCCTAAGATACTCTTCGTTCTATACCCTGTGCATGCCTCTTGTAGTTACTTTCCTCTTGCTAGAATACTATATCTTCAATTACCTTTAGGGACGACTATTACGTCCCCCTCGGTCCCGACTGAATGACTATGCGCCACAAAGCCCATGCACAATATATTCCTCCTTCTTCAGTCCGCTGCTGGCAGGTATGGCGGGCGGCCAGATTGCATATCCAAGAATAATACGGTGTTCACCCACCCCGATCTTCACGTCTCTCCTCTAACAGCCCTCTCCACAGCCTCCCTCGCCTCGCGCAAGTCCTTTCCCAACAGCTCATATGCCTCCCGCACCGAATAATGCAGCTCGACCAAATCCTTTGCACGCTTCAAGTCTGGATCGTCTTCTTCTACCAGCTTTTGATTTGCCTTGGTGTTTGGGGACTTGGACGGGCGCTCAGAAACGAGTGCAAGGGCTGCGGTGGGATCCTGCTGATTTCTTATCAGTTTCAGACAGTAGCGGTTATGTTTTGTAGGACGGGCAAAGGCGACTGGTGACTTCGAGGAAGGCCTTACGCAGACACGGAGGGAGGTTAGGTCGGAGAGGATCTCGGCGAGTTGCATTGTATTTTGCGTGCTTGAGGAGGCCATTTTGAGAGCCGTTTGGTGCACGATAAGGGTTCACTTTTGTCGATAGATGGGTAAGTGGATAAGTTTAATGGTGGGTTGAAGTGTCCCAATCTCAAGAGCTTGGTCCACGTTAAATCATGCCAACGGGGCCACCCGTGACATGACAACAACCGACATCGGATTCGGAGAATTCTGTGCCGAAGCTCCGCTTCCCCTGGCTAAAGACGGCAATTATCGCCTTGCTTTGATGTGATTCCGAATTGAACTTCACTCTTACACTTTCTGAGTCTCAGACAAGGTTCTTTATTCATACCTAAGTGCTTACTCTTTTCTACTATATATACTTTAGTCTTACAAGAATACCTACGCTATGGCGAGTATGCAATCGATTAGAGCGAATTGCCGAAAGGTCTGTTGGTTTCTTTATCCAGATCCTCAAACCACTGACAATGTGTGTATAGATCATGTGCATAGGACGAAACTACGCGTACGTTTTCATGCAATTCTTTCCCGCTATGGGCTCTAATACCAATTGAACAGCGACCATGTAAAAGAGCTGAACAATCAGCGTCCCAAACAACCCTTCTTCTTCCTTAAGCCCCCGAGTTCTATCCTACTCCCGGGCTCGGGCCCGGTGCTGCGGCCCAAGGGTGTCACGATGCATTATGAAGTTGAGTTGGGGCTCATCATGGGGAAAACGGTGAGGGATCTTCATCCGGAGGATGCTCAGGGGGCATTGGACGCGATTGAAGGTAATTCAATCCAATCACATGATCGAGGGCTTTTACATCTGCACCCGCAAGGATTCTTCCGCGCTTGCGTACTAACATTCCATGAAGGCTATCTCCTAGCAATCGACATGACTGCCCGCAACGTACAAGACGAAGCGAAGAAGAAAGGACTCCCGTGGTCCATTGCAAAAGGCTTCGACACATTTCTCCCCATCAGCAACCTCATCGCGAAATCAAGGATCCCGGACCCGCACAACGCCAATCTCTGGCTGAGTGTAAACGGCCAGATGAAACAAGCCGACAACACCGAGCTCATGCTTTTCCAAATTCCGCGTCAGCTGAGCGATATTAGCAGGGTGATGACGCTAGAGAAAGGGGACATTGTGCTTACGGGAACGCCGAAGGGGGTTGGACCGGTTACTACTGGCGATGTTATAAAAGCTGGACTTAAAATAGATGGTAAAGATATCGAAGAGGCACGTATCGAGGTCCCAGTCGTAGATCGCGAGGGGCCGTATCAGTTCAAGGAAACATAGCAAGATTTGGCCGTAGATCACGCACATGCACCCTGTTCAGCTTACATGGTGCTCATGACTGTGGCTATGAATGTCTCCAGATCCTCCCGTTGGGGAATTTCCCTGCGCTTTGGCTTGGTCAGATGAATCGCAGGACTGCCTCCTAAGGAAACCGCATTAGCAACTTCAGAAGAAGATCTAGACCGAGTCGGAGGGGCAGGTTCCCGTGGAACTTTCAAAACTGCAATCTTAGATAGCTTGGCTGTAGTCTCCCCTAACTTGTCGTGATGAAGCCTTGCCTGGCTGCGTGTCTCCCTTCTCGAAGGCGATTGCACCGCTTTCCTCTTCTTTCCTGCATTGGCTTCTCCTCGTTGCTGGCACTCCCTGGTAGTCTGGGTATGAATCTCCGATTGGGTCTGGAGAATTTGCGCTTGATGTTGAGATGGACGTGCCATGTTGCGTACGGTTCTCCTCTGGTACGCACTGAATGTGGGCGAATCTTCAATTAGAGATGCTTGTCTCCTACCGGCGTGATCTAAAGGGCTTGCTGGAACTTGGACGTCTGTTGGAATGGAAGACTCGAATCGCACAGTCGTAGCTTCCGAAGAAGCCGCCTGCTGTGTGGCCAACCTTAGCATCGCGTTGAGACGAGCCAACTCCGCATTCAACTGGATGCTTATTGCATTAGAAGCATCCACGGCCTTCTCAAGGGCGGTAACCTTGCCCTGCATCGCTTGTAACTTTCGTATTTCCTCGATTCGCCGTGAGTCCATGGCGTCAAGGCGCGACATAAGATTCTTGACTTCAGTGGGATCATTTTTTCTCACCAATTTCTCTGGTTCTGGTGCTTGCTTTTGCAACGCCGACTCAATATCCTCCACTTTTCTCAAAATAGACAGGTTGCTCAAGGAAGCTTGCTCAACTGCAGCTTTCATGCTCCTGTGCTCCGTCTCCAGTGCTGCGAGTTTCTGCTGCATCTTCCTAGCTTTTTCACTATCCTCTCGGTGTTTGGCTAGTTTTGCTACTTCGAATTCACCGATGGTTTTTCTCACTGCTTCATCGTCGTCCTCAATGGCCGCGATACGCTTTGCCATTTCCTCCATGTCTGCCTTGACCGCTTCCATAGTTCGGGCTGTTGCCTCGGAGGCTCTGATTCGTGTATTGTAGGCCTGATGTTGTGCTTCAATCTTCTTCATGCGATCGAGGAGGTGATGGTGTTCACGCTTGAGCTGATGCTTCCACAGGAGCGAGGCAGGATCCTCGAATGGCGTCGTCATGGCGGCAGATGGTGCGCTGTTGCCGCTTTCTGACCCGGGTGTACTCAGTCAGGCTGAATCGATGGCACGCGGGTGAAGTGATGGCGAGGCATCGACGATAAGTGAGGGTAGAAGGAGAAAGTTGAAGGAGGAAAGTACCGGAAGTGCACCTTCCTATCCCGCCAACAAAGTGTGAAGAGCAAAGGTTATAGATAGCTGACAAGGTCAGTCAGTATCATCAGGTACGAGTCATATTGATGGCATGTGAAAGAGACATTGAAATAGCGCAAGTTTCTTATTTGATTCTACCTACTGAGGGCGGTTGCGTTCACGAACCAGCTCGTTTCGGTCCTTTGGGTGCATCGAAGACCTCGTCTCTCTTCATGATCCTGACCTTGGTATCCTTCTTGATCCCATCTTGCTCACTTGCGGAGCCACTCTCACCCTCTTTGGCCCGTTCCGCAATACTCTTATCGTAGCTGCTGGGGTCTATGCCCAGAATGCCACCAACATTATTCCGGTCTCCCGGGACGGAGAACTCGCGGAACGCATATCGCCATTCATTGAGGAAACCGCGAATGGCTTTGCCCACTTTATCCTTCCCGTTCTTGGAGTGGTGACCGGTGCCTGTGATGGCATACACTGGACGGGAAGAGGAACTGTGTTTCAAGAGAATGCCTTCAAGGTAAGATACTGCCTCGTCAGGGTGAAGGCCTAAACACTGTTTTCAGCAATAGAGTATTTCATGGTATTCGGAGTCTGACTTACCATGAAGATCGACGTAGAGCTCACGTGCATTGGGCCCATTGTCCTTATTCCGTTCTTCGTACAGATGACGGGCAGCTTCACGGTGGGCTTCACGCATGAGGTTGTTCTCACTTTGGCCGCGAAGGCTCAGAGCTTTGGCAGCACGAGAATCACTACGGTTCCAAGCTTGTGCAGCGCTGAAAAGAATAAGCAAAATGTTCGTCGTTACAATGAAAAGACGTACCTCTGTAGGAACTTGTTCCTGAGGCTTCCATGTTTGAAAGCCTCTGCTCTAGCTTGCAGATATGCCTTGTTAGCATTCTCGCCTGTTTCTAGCCAAGGAATGTGTTCGGGGGCGAGGATGGCTGAAGCAGCAACGCTATTTTCGCGAGATCCACTGAAGCTCTTCGTAGGCCTCAAGCCTTTGCGAAGCTGAGATTGGTTAGGAGATGGCGACATGCGTACGATATCTGCCAAGTAGGCTTGATCTTTGTTCCCGTGACCATGGCCGCCACGTTTTCCATGATGACGTTTGGTGGACTTTGCGGCTGCAGCGGAGCCCAAGGTAGGAAACGCCTCGTTGTCGTCCACTGCAGGTACAGACGGGGTGGCGGCGCGCGAGTGATGGCGACTATCTGGTCGAGACTGCGGGCGACTGGAGTTGGCTGGGGTAAAGGTAGGGAATGGACTTAATCCTGGAGGAGGGTGAGTTGCACCTGTAGTTACTCCATAGAGCTGCTCGAGGGATGCTGTCTCTGCGATGGAGAGTTGAGGGGTCCATTGAGGGGAACTCGTGGACTGGAGCGATGGAAATGCCTCGTAGTCCTGCATTTGGAAGTTCGGGAGGGTAGCTTGCAAAGGGGGTGTCGAAACATCTGAGATACCTAAGCGAGCCATGAGAGTGGACGGGTCATGTGAGAACAAGCACGTGTCGCCGGCGAGACAATTCCCGCTCATGAAATACCTAAGAACGGAGATGTCAGCATCCAAAACATGCAATCGTACTTTATGAAGTAAATATGCACTTACTTGCAGAGGGTTTTGCTTGTGTCATGACTGAACCTGCAATCTGCCCTTGCGCAATGCCCAGTGGAGAGAAAGTACTTGCACACAATATTACTCTTAGCCTGGCTGGCGGGCGTAGCGGGTCGCATAGCCGGGCTCATAGATCTTCCGACGATATACGCCCCTTGTTCGGTCAATACTGGTGCCACTTGCTGACCGTCGAAAGCTTGGGAGCCCATGAGTGCAATCAGCGTAGCACTCAAGTCGTATCCATTAGCTTCGAGGGCTTTCTCAATCTCCTCGTCTGGGCGATCGTCGCGCAGGATCGAACGAAGCATGTCATATGGGCTCATATCCATTGTCTGAGGCTGGACCCATTCCGCGGCAGCACCGTTGAGGGTGCCGTCGCCGACCTGAGATGAGGTTTCGGTGCTTCCAGAATCATCATTCACCAGCCAATCAACGGTGTCGCTACCATAATCGCCATAGTCAAAGCCAGCGGGACTTGCACCCTCACTGAACTGATATGCGCTTAGGCTAGGGCTATGGGGGATATGGGGGCTTGAGAAGGCCAAGCGCGGAGAGGGTCGCGGGGAAGTGAATGGGGATGCATTAGATGACTTCGCTCGTGTAAAGCCCGGGGGAGCAACTCCGAAACCTGGAGGAGGGTGTATGGTTCGAGGGGAGTGGTTGACAGGGGTTGGGGCGCGGTTGACCTGCCAGGGAGCTGGCGATGGACGGCGGATGACGGTATGGCGACTGGGGGGCGGGGAGCTCGATGAATTGCCAGCTTCGCGAAACCGCCAGAGACAGTCCAGCACGACGTTCTCGAGAGATTTTCCGGTGAGGCCTGTTTCCTTGCGCAGCAGTTGTTCTAGCTTGTCGGTCCTGTCGTCGTCTTCCAGGGCCTCATCCTGCAGGACCGGGAGACAGACCTCGTAGACCTCGTCGGCGACCATTGCTCCTCAAAGCATGAGTCGGCGATGTGAAGTGCGCGAGAGAAGAGGGTGTTGGCGGGATGTGTCGAGCTGACGCGCGGTACTTTGGGGGGGAGACGTGGGCCAGAGCGGAGAGCTAAATTAGGAATTAAGGGTCTACTGAGGGGAGGACAAGTGAAGGCGGGCGAAAGAAGCAAAGAAAGAGTGTTGCGCAGCGAAGGCAGCGAGGGCGGAAGGGAGGAAATGAGTGAGTGAAGGCAATCTTGGCTGTCCGGGGCAGCAAATGAAGCTCTGCTGAGATCCAGCCTTATGCAGTGTGGGGACTGCGGGCTTCAAGTTAGCTTGCCCGTTTCAGAGCGTGGGCAATGGAGCTGGAGGGCGCAAACCAAGGACCCGACAACGCTACATTGCTGCAGCGCAGCGGCGAGGGAGAAGCTGAGTGCGGGATGAGGGTGGTGGTAATGGGCCGGGAGACACGAAGGGCCGGCTGATAATGGGGTTGTGGGCAGCCTTCTTATTCACTCCTCCGGCCTGGCTTCTGAAGGCACAGGGAGGATACCGCACCGCCACAGGGAATGTGGCTAGTACATGTGGCTGCTCTGTGCCGGTTTCATCATCATCCGCTCGCCGCAGCAGTCTGCATCGAGCTTGGTACCTTTGTCATCTTACGGTTCAGTCCTCCTCCATACCGTTGCTGTATTTTCTCTCACCGGCATGTCCGTCTTCAGCTACGTCGGGAAACACCCCTAGATCTCCACCACCGCTTCCTTTGTGTTATTCCTCCTTCTCCGCGCCCTTCCGCCTCGCGCCCACTCCCTCCGTCACGATGCCTGAACACGACTACGACCCCCGCGCCCTTGCCCTCCCCTTAGGCGACGGCTCTCCAGAACCTGTTAGTCCGATATGGAGTAGACGGTCCGCTTCATTCCGCCGCAATGAAGCCCCGTTTCCTCCCCAGCTTTCCTTCCGGGCACGTTTAGTGAAGCGGGCCAACAAGTTTCAAAGTCGTGTATATGGGACCTACCGGCGGCTATCGCTATTCCAGCGAATCCTTGTGGCCATCGGCGGAGTCACTTGCTTCGTCCTGTCAATACTCTTCCTGGTTTACAACGAGCGCATCTTCCATTCCTTGTTGCCCTTTGCGGCGAAATGGCGGGACATCCGAGCCGGCTGGCTAATTCTTTGGGCGCTCATATTCGTCGTATCCTTCCCTCCGCTAATCGGATACTCGAGTCTTTTAACAATTGCAGGATTCGTATATGGATTCCCGAACGGGTATGTCTTTCTCATGTCAAGATATTTAAGACGTTCCTGCTGACAGCTAGCAGGTGGTTCATAGCAGCCAGTGCGACCGTGGTCGGCAGCACCGCCTCATTTATTCTTTCTCGTAGCATCCTCAAAAACATGGTCCACCGCCTAATAGCCAACGATAAGCGCTTCGCAGCTCTCGCTCTAACCCTCAAGCACGACGGCCTCAAACTCCTCGTCATGATCCGGATGTGTCCGCTCCCATATTCTCTTTCCAACGGCGCCGTAGCCACATTTCCAACCGTCCACTGGGCCTCATTTGGACTGGCAACCGCAATCGTTTCGCCAAAACTCATGCTACCGGTCTTCATAGGTTTGCAGATTGCAAAGATAGCAGAGAGTGGAGGGAAAATGGAACCGGGAACCAAAGCACTAAGCTACGTCAGTATTGCCATTGGAGCAATCGCAGGGGTTGCAACTGGATGGTTTATGTACCGAAAGACAAAACAAAGGGCCCGCCAGCTTGAAGCCGAGGAACGCGCTGGCATCCGTCGAACGTCCATTGAGGATCTAGAAAACGAGTATGCGGATGACCCGGATGCTTTAGAGGCTGCGGAGACTCTCCGAGAAGATGACGACGACATTAGTCTTCGATCTGATTGGGCTGATGAAGGTTATCATGACGATCCTAGCGACATAGAAGATGCACTTGAGATTCCCGATGATCCGTTTAAAGCTGGAGATGGTACCTTAGAAGAGGAGATTGGCGGAAGGCAGTAGCCCCTCTATATATTCCCATCACTAGATGTGGACATGTTGAACTAGAATAGAGAGTCCACCGGGCCGGCATGGTTTTGGGCGTTGTAGGCACTTCATATTTTGGATGTACTTTTGAAAGTCACAGGGTTGGCATTCGTCCCTTTTTCCTCGGCTGCGTCTCACGATCGGGCGATTGCAATAAGGATCCTAGAAACTCTAGGCACTGCCTACATTCGTGAGCTGAGATATTAGGCGTATTACTACTACCTACATGTTCAAATATTTAAGGAATTAAATTGTTACCTAAAGTAACAACAGCCCACTCAAAGCAAGGCCGGATGGCCCACCTGTACAGATAGGGTATGCTGCTATCTATATACAGTTAACAGATACACAATACCAAGCCCATCAATGCACCCAACTCCATCCAGTATTCACAGTGTGCTGTGCTTCGTTCTGCAAAACACCAACGCTATGCATCGAAAATGAAGGTATACCCAATGTCCGTTCTAAGCGGTTCACCAGATGCAATACCTCTCCTACTAACGCCTTACAAAGCTTAGGAAAACATCTAAAAGTGCAGTCGAATTGATGCCCTGGGACAGAAAACATCTAGTTCACACCGAGAAGTCGTGAAAAGAGCAATCAGGCCGCTACATCCAGACCAGCCTTCTTCAAGCCATCCAGATATTGCTTCTTTAGATCACCGTCTTTCGTCTTGTCCCCGCTTCCCATCTTCTGAAACTCTTCCAACAGCATATCTTCTACAGCCTCAAGTCCCTTCTCCTCAGCCGCAGATAGCTTCACCTCAGAAGGATTCTTGAAATCAGTCATAGACTCCTCACCAGCTACCATCTTGTCTAATTCCAGCTTTGAAACGCCCAGGGCGTGAATTTGCTCTTCAACCGTCCCCTTTGTTACCAGCCTAATGACCTCCACATCCCGTGTCTGTCCGACTCGGTGGGCACGATTTTCGGCCTGAATGTCGTCCTGTGGGTTGAATGAGGAATCGAAGATGATAACCTTATTCGCACAAGCTAAGTTGATACCGGCCCCGCCAGATTTAGTACTGAGCATAAAGACAGGTATCGTTTCATCTTCGTAAAATTGATCGAGCATATCTTGCCGTTGCGCGATCGGTGTCTGTCCATCTAGACGGAAGTATGCCATTTCTAGGGTGTCCAGAACCCATTCGAGAATGTCCATAACTGAAGTGAACTGGGAAAATACGAGAGTCCGATCCCCATTCTCTTTAAACCCCACCAGTAACTCAGCTAACTTCTTGATCTTTCCAGAATCCATCCACTCGTCGTTAGTGAGTCTGAACTTGCCTAAGGCGCGAGGGTACGTCGTGGCCAACGAGTGACATTGGTAATCCTGATACAATTGTAGCTCCTCAAAGATGATATTAGGATCGCTGTCTTTGAATTTTTCTTCCCTTAGGCAAGCCTTGGACATCTTCCGGATGACATGATCGCTATAGTGGTTTCGGAAGAGTAGTGGGTGTATGGCAGCCTGACGAAGTTTCATCATGACATTCGCATGATCTTTGGTCTGAATGCCTGCAGCACGGTCCACCAGAACCTGACGTTGTCTCTCAATCTGTTCCGCGTAGAGTTTTGACTGCGATTCTGTGAGGTTGCAGTATTCAATTCGACAGGTCTTCTGAGGCAAGTGTTTGAGGACTTGAACTTTCTTGCGACGCAGAATGAAAGGGGTCATCATCGAGCGTGCTCGCTTGATCCGCTGTGTGGACAGAAGTGCTCCATGGGTATCGCTATCAGTTGTCTTAGCTTTGTGTTTAAAAACAATTGTTAAATCATCCTCCACATCTTTAAAGATATCAGGCATTATGAAGGCCAGGATCGATGCCAGTTCTCGGAGATTGTTCTGTAGCGGTGTTCCAGTCAACAGCAGCCGGAAGTTCGCTGGAATCCGCATCAAGCTTTGATATCTCTGAGTGGTCGAATTACGCAAGACATGTCCTTCATCATATATGCAAGCGTGAGGCCTGCACTTGCGTAGGAATACGTTGTCCATCTTCTTAAAGGCGAGATCATATGTCGTAACTATGACATCAATTGTAGATCGATTGTCTAGAATCTTCAATTGTTGCTCCTCGCGCGCTGCCTGTAATCCGTAGTAAGGCTCGACGACAAGCTTGTTAGAGAAGCGTTGGAATTCTCGAAGCCAGTTCTCTAATGTTGAACCTGGCACAACAATCAAGTGAGGTCCTTGTACGTTGAGCTGTCGGAGGTGTGAGAGAAAGGCGATGACTTGACAAGTCTTCCCAAGGCCCATGTCATCCGCTAAAATTCCGGAAATTCCGTTCTGCCATAGCAGATTAAGCCAATTGAGACCAACTAGCTGATAGTCTTTAAGCTGGAGGTCAGGGCTCATATTTGACGGCTTCTTTAACAGAGTGCTCTTTCCCCGGGAGCCCTTCTGAACCGTATCTGCTTCTGTGTCGCTGCTGCTTCGTGGAGTACCGATTCCAGAGTCACGAATAGAGGAGGTATCGCTTCCGTCGTCGAGGGAAGTGAGTGCGACTTCACCTTCTATCGTAGCACCGAAGACATCAACACCCCACTTAGCCATTGCAGCTGCAATAGTCTTTCCTCGGGCTTCACACTTGATTACCAATTGATCAATCGCCATGTAGCCCCTCCACATGCTGGTAGCAGAATCAACCAACCTCTCGCCCATAGGGATCTTCGGTTTCTTAGCCTTCTTTCCGTTTCCAGATGACAATTGGGAATCCACATATATTTTCTCCACAGCAGTTAGAGACGTGAACGGTCGACGTGCAAGAATAGAGCGGACATCGTCTTCCTTCTGGTTGGATAAATCTACCATTGCTTCGACCGAGCAAGTATTGAAGAAGTCGAGAAGAGAGTCATCTTCAACCTCCGCATCGTCCGAGACTTCAGCGTCGGAATCTGAGCTAATTGCAATTGCCTCATCCTCGTCTTCCAATTCCACCTTTCTGGGCATGGGACGCAGTGGAACCTGTGGGGAGACAGATAGTGTTGGGGACCGATTTCGCCGACCACGAACGAGCCGGCCCTTTCTCCTAGGTAGATTTTCAGGCGCAGGACCGGGTTGCGCCTGGCAGATAGTCGAGAATTTCTCGTGAATACTCTTCGTAGGAGCATTCAATTCACGCTTAGCAGTTTTCACTGGCTGCTGGCTTTTCGGCGAGCTTAGTAACTCATCTTCCGAGGACGGGACTGGAAGAGCGTTGTGGTCCCTGGTAACGAGCTCTGCTGCATCATCCCAATTGCCCCTCTTTGCAACGAGAGCTTCGTATAGAACCCGAACAGGCTTCCCTGGAACAACAGCCATCAGACGCTGTACCTTCCTCTTCATATCAAAATCTGGGATATCGTCAAGTTCCATATCAATGTCAGGCTCTACTGGCAAGGCCCGAGCCGGTCCAATCTGCCGAGGGACTGAGCGCGGCCACTTGCTGAGGGGTAGAGTGCCAGCATTGTTATCGGCTGGTCGTTTGCGGACTAGATTAGGGTTGTACTGAAAGCTAGATAGATTCAACGGACGTTTCTGTGGAGTTTCTTCAATGCGTGATGGTTTGATATTAGAGCGTACAGTATCCTCTTCTTCAGGATCCGCCTCCACGGGAGGATCGTCACACGTGAGGTCGATCGCGATGGGGCGGTGAGCCGGGGGAGGGCGTCGAAGGTATGTACCAGGAGGGGCCATTGGGTTTGCATATGGAAGTTGGCGCTGGGATATGACTGGGGAGTGTACTGCAGGAGAAGACCGCGCGACTTGGATTTGTGATTCACGATCGACTCTGTTGGACTTCGGGGTGGTGGGCAACACCTGTGTTGGTTGAGTGACGAACGTCGGCGGAGGGAAGAGCGAAGATCGGATAGGGTTCAAGGGCAAAGTTGGTTGCGTGAGAAAGTCATCGGCGAGTTCATCATCGCTGTCTGTAAAGCTATTGCTGGGCCGGGGGGCTTGTGAGCCCATGGGGGAGGACGAGACGATTGGGTCGCGTCGGTACATGGGTGGAAGCTATTAGGAGCAGCGAGGGGAGTTGCGGGCACGGAATATAAGAAGACAATGGCTTCAAAGTGGCAAACAATTCGGCGTATTGGGACGCAAAGAAAGAGGCATTGTCGTCGCGGGTGGCGCTGAAGAGAAAGGAGGAAGACGTTGTGGCGGGGATAAGACAAAGGCCAAAAAAAACGCGCCGAACGAGTTGGCGCGAGGTCACGGCGTGCACGGGCCTCTATGGCTTGGCATCGTGGGTTCATGCAGAAGACAATATGAGAGGCATTCACCCCCTCTAGCGTCGGTATAAGTAGCAGCCATTGAAGAAAGCAAGCCCTGTAGTGAGTCTACATCTAAAATCGCAGGCGAAATTATTGGCCTCATTTTCAGCACAATTATATGGCAGCTGTGGCCAATCAAGCGTGCTGTTGGAGACGCATTTTTGCCTGAGAGCTCTGCTTTGGTCGAACTCCCACAACCAATTTCGTCTACAACCACCAAGCCAAGCCCGCCAAAACCTGATATTACCAACATACAATGACTTCACGTAGGGTGGTGGCTACTGAGAAGACATATCTCGACAATAATGGGAAAGGAGTCTCGGAGCCCTCGAATATCGCCCCAGCTGTTCCCGCGTTAGAACCCTCCTATTCCTACATTACTCCATCTTATGTATGCTAGGTCGGTAATTTGGAAGCTGTTAAGCTTCACGTTTGCCATGATCACTCTCCCAATTGGCACCTACTTCTTTACTGTTAATTATGTGTTCCATGGTACTTCCCACCAAGCACTTATGCCTTCCCTGCACTGACAATGGAGCAGGCAACTCAACATATGCTGGTGCTACGGCTGCTGTGATGGCCAACGTGGTCCTTATCGCATATGTGATCGTGGCAATGAAGGAGGACCAGTCAGAGCGACAGGAAGAGGAGGAGAGAAAGAAGAAGTCAATTTAACCTTTATTGCCATATCTGGGAACTGGTCGGCAAGATTTGTTTGGGGAGGCCTTCTCCCACAGGATGAAACAATGATCATGGTAAATTTGGTTATCGGGAAGCCCTACCTCTATTCTGTCAACTGCTATTCTTTTCTTAGAGAGTTTCATGTAGCTAGCATATGGTGACGTTCCTCAATGCATAAGTCTCCTTTAGTATTCACCTGCACTGGCTCCTCTTGGACAAGTTAACAACTCATCTGCGCTTGCGCCTTTACTTCCAGGTTTAGGTCCTCCATAAAGACTACTCACTCTCCCGGCACTGGCCTTGTTGCTCAACCTAATTTCGAAGGGACAACGCTTCGTTGTCTACCGCAGCTTGCCAATAGTACGAAGTCTAAGCTGATCCACGAGGAAGAGAGGTTCCGCAGCATGCAATGGCGGTGTTGCCAATGCCAGGGATGTATGGGCATAAAGCACCCCACATGCTCTGGAATTGAAAATGCTCTTTGCGAGCACCGCAAACGTCGGAACTTCAAGCTCGTATGGAAACGCCAATGCTCAACATTCCCAAAAAAAACCTAAGGAGGAAAAGGACAAGAAGCCCGACGCTAGAGAAGGAAGGATAGGAGGCCAGTCAGTATACGGGACAGTAAAGCTGGGGAAGGAAAAGTTGGCCACGGAGCCAATCTCGACGACGCTGCATCATACAGTGAATTGATAGTCATAGTTTGAATCAAGCAAAGAGAATTAGAATCTGCTATCTAAAGCCTACTTAACTTTGTGAGGGCCTTGAAGTCCTAGAAGTCCTGATGTCCAATATGCATCTCAAAGCTTCGCTTCGAAAATCATTGTAGCTGCTTAAGAAAGCTAATATGGGTATATGGAAGCTAAGGAATAACAATCCTTGTAAAGGAGTATCAACCTGGCAAGGGATGGTGTCCTTAATCAGGATATTCAAAGCACGTGTGGTTTTGACTTTCATGCACCACGAGTGGCTACACGCCGAGACAGACTTCCGAAACTTGAGAAATAACTGACACAAGAAACCAATTCAGCCTGTGATCCATTGTCCACTTCATGGGCGTATGTCTTGAGAGGAAGGAAGCGTTGGGGGCTCGAACTCCCACAATCACCCATTTTCGAGAACTATCCTGTGAAAGAGAACTGGTGCAATGGAGTGAATGAGCGAAGAAGAACGTCAGTGCATCAAATGCCTAGGGTCAGAAGTGACAAGTGTCCGTTTCTAGAGGCATCGCAGGCTCATGTGCCGTGCTCGAGGCTGAGGTGAATGCGGGGGCACGGCCCAGGTTCTGATTCGCTGCTTGGCTTCGGCTGGTTTTCTGAAAGGTGTCCAATTTCACCTTGGAGCTTGCCCGATTGTGTTTAAATCCTCCAATTGCCCACCCCGTCTCCTCAACACCCTCTCCTTTGCTTTCCCACCATCTCAACAAAGTCCTCTGATCTCCAAGCAAGACAGCAGGCAGCTCCACCCACGATGCGTTTCGCTTTCGGAGCTACAGCGCTCCTTGCTGCTGCCGTGGTTCGTGCCGACGCTGCAGACGACCTCGAGGACGCCTCCTCGTCCGTCTCGTCTGCTGTCGAGTCCTCTACATCGTCATCAGTTGTGAAGCCAACCTTCACCGTAAGCAAACTCTCTCCCCGCCAGGAGGCCCGGCAAACAGAATTCTAACGTTGATCTCGGCAGCCCACCACGCTGAAAGCGCCTTTCCTCGAGCAATTCACCGATGATTGGGAATCAAGGTGGAAAGCTTCACATGCGAAGAAGGACGATAAGTCCACTGAGGAAGAATGGGCATACGTCGGCACTTGGTCTGTTGAGGAGCCTTCCGTCTTCAAGGGGATGGAGGGGGACAAGGGTCTGGTGATCAAGGATAAAGCGGCCCACCACGCCATCTCGGCCAAATTCCCCAAAGTCATCAACAACAAGGGTAAGACTTTGGTGGTGCAGTATGAAGTCAAGCTTCAAAGTAAGTCAATGCATGGAGCCATCGCGAGCCATATTAACCCCTACCAGATGGCTTGGAGTGCGGCGGTGCTTATATGAAGCTCCTCCAGGACAACAAGGCTCTTCATGCCGAGGAGTTTTCAAACGCGTCTCCGTACATCATCATGTTTGGTCCTGACAAATGTGGTGCTACTAACAAGGTGGGGCTATCACAATGGGATCAATCTCCAAGAATGCTAATTTATCTCAGGTCCACTTTATTTTTCGCCACAAGAACCCCAAGACAGGCGAGTACGAGGAGAAGCACCTCAAGAACCCTCCAATGGCGCGTATCGTCAAGACGACATCTCTCTACACCTTGATTGTGAAGCCAGACAACTCTTTCGAGATCAAGATCGACGGCGAGTCCATTCGCAATGGCACTCTGCTTGAGGACTTCAGCCCATCCGTCAACCCTGAGAAAGAGATTGACGACCCCAAGGACAAGAAGCCCGAGGACTGGGTCGACGAGGCCCGTATCCCCGACCCAGAAGCCAAGAAACCCGAGGATTGGGACGAGGATGCTCCGTTCGAGATTGTCGATGAGGAGGCCAAGAAGCCGGAGGACTGGCTCGACGACGAACCTACCACGATCCCTGACCCAGAGGCCGAGAAGCCTGAGGATTGGGACGACGAGGAGGATGGCGACTGGGTTCCCCCAACAGTGCCAAACCCTAAGTGTGACGAGGCCTCTGGCTGCGGCAAGTGGGAACCACCGATGAAGAAGAACCCTGAGTACAAGGGCAAGTGGACCGCAGAGTATATCGACAACCCGGCATACAAAGGCACCTGGGCACCAAGGAAGATCAAGAACCCTGACTATTTTGAGGACAAGACCCCGGCCAAGTTTGAGCCCATGGGTGCCGTAAGTGACTCTTACCTAGTAAGGAAGATTTGTACTCACATACCATAGATTGGATTCGAGATCTGGACCATGCAAAACGACATCCTCTTTGACAACATCTACATTGGTCACTCCATTGAGGATGCCGAAAAGCTCAAGGCAGATACATTTGATCTTAAGATCGTTGCGGAAAAGGCTGAAGAGGAAGCCACTGCTCCAAAGCCAGTTGAACCTCCGAAGTCGCCTTCGGATCTCGTCTTCAAGGACGACCCAGTCCTCTACATTAAGGAGAAAGTCAATTTGTTCTTGACTATTGCCAGGAGGGATCCAGTCGAGGCCATCAAATTCGTCCCTGAGGTTGCTGGGGGTATTGGAGTCCTCGCTGTCACACTCATTGCTATTGTTGTCTCCACTCTCATTAGCGGTGGTGCTGCTCCTTCCAAGGAGCAGGTCAAAGATGCAGCAAAGAAATCAAAGGATGCTGCTGTCGACGCGAAGGACAAGGCAGCGGAGGCTGTCTCCAGCGGCGCCGAGAAGGCACAGTCAGAGGTCAACAAGCGCACTACACGCTCCACTGCTTCGTAAATGTAGTGCAGAGAGGGCGATGAAATAGTGATAGATCGGTAGAAGTCGGTCGAAAAGGGCTCCCATGGAATCTTAGCACGGAGGAGCACCCATATCTTTGGATTCCAGGTATAACCAAATATTTTTCTCGAGGGTGTACGGCGCCATGACAGTGTACCATAGCTCTCTTCAAGAATGAATTTACGGTTCTCGTAATGACCAAAGGACTCGTTTGCTGCCAGGGTCAATTGTGAAGCGTGGATGCCAATGTGGAACAGTGACTGTTATGTAAGCAATGTGGAGATACTTTCGGCTCATCGGGAAAGCGCGGCCTTAGAAGCCCCCTCTCCGGGATCAAAGGAAATCGAAAGCCGGCTTGCGGCTTGATGCAGGTAGTTCTCCTGGGCCCGAAGTTTTGATAAATTAATTGATTCTCTTTCAAATACTTTCCGCTGCGCCGTGGCTTCTGCAACTGACCCAAGAGAATCCTTGTTTCGGTAGTTACCATGGCCGCCCGACGAGCTCTCCTCCGCACCGCGAACTTGGCCACCCAAGCTTCCACACCTCGCATTACCTCTCTCTCCACCAGAATGTCGTCGCCTGCCAGCACAAACAAGATCGCCTCGAGGCGGCTACATGCCACTGCTCGACACCTCAAGCCTACAACTACCACGGCCGCCCTCATCGCAGACTCGTATCCGCTCAGCCATGACCCCATTGAGTCTCCAGTCGACACGCAGAACTTCTTAGATAACAGGTTTGTGCCTTCAAAAGCGACGACGTGGCTAGACCTCCACGATCCTGCCACCAACAATCTCGTTACACGAGTGCCTCAGAGTACCAATGAGGAGCTGCTGGCCGCTGTCGATAGCGCGCAGAAGGCGTTCAAGCCATGGAAGGAGACCAGCTTGCTTTACAGGCAACAGATTATGTTCAAATACGTCGCATTGATCCGAGAGAACTGGGACAGGCTAGCTGCTAGTATCACATTGGAGCAAGGGAAGACTCTTGCCGATGCAAAGGGTGATGTCTTGCGCGGCTTGCAAGTAGCCGAGACGGCATGCGGCATCACGACCCAGATGACGGGCGAGGTGCTGGAAGTCGCAAAAGATATGGAGACCAGAAGTTACCGAGAACCTCTTGGTGTTGTTGCTGCTATTTGTCCCTTTAGTGAGTGTATTGGTCTCCGACGGGGGACTATTACTAATTGCCTATCCAGACTTCCCTGCCATGATTCCTCTGTGGTCAATTCCCATTGCGACAGTCGTCGGCAACACCATCGTCATCAAGCCCTCGGAGCGTGATCCTGGCGCTTGCATGATCCTGGCTGAGCTCGCTGAGAAAGCTGGGTTTCCTGCGGGTGTAGTCAACATCGTCCACGGCTCCGCGAAAACAGTCGACTTCATCCTTGATGAGCCGCGCATCAAGGCCGTGAGCTTCGTAGGGAGTAACAAGGCTGGTGAATATATCTACTCCCGCGCATCAGCTAATGGCAAGCGAGTCCAGGCGAACTTGGGTGCGAAGAATCATGCTGCTGTCCTCCCAGACTGCAACAAGAACCACGCCTTAAATGCCATTGCTGGTGCGGCTTTCGGTGCGGCTGGTCAACGATGCATGGCATTGAGTACCCTTGTCATGATTGGCGAGACCAAGGACTGGGTGCCAGAGATTGCGGAACGCGCAAAGGCTCTTAAGATGGACGGTGGATTTGAGGAGGGTGCTGACCTAGGACCCGTGATCAGCCCACAGGCGAAGAAAAGGATCGAAGATCTGATCGCCAGCGCTGAGGAAGAGGGTGCGACCATCCTCCTCGATGGCCGGGGCCAAAAACCTCCGAAGTACCCCAACGGTAACTGGGTATGTACAATCCTTGAGGATTGAGAAACCTGTTTGCTGACTGTATGTTGAGGTTGGTCCGACCATCATCGCTAATGTTAAGCCCGACATGAAGTGCTACAAGGAGGAAATTTTTGGTCCTGTCCTAGTCTGCCTCAATGTAGGGACGATAGATGAGGCCATTGAGCTCATCAACGAGAATGAGTATGGAAACGGTACTGCTATCTTTACCCGGTCTGGTGCCACAGCTGGTCGGTTCCAGCGAGAGATTGAGGCAGGCCAGGTCGGCATCAACGTCCCCATTCCCGTCCCAGTAAGCCAGGCTTTTACTCCAACATGAGCGTTGTCTGCCTAACACTAATCAGCTCCCCATGTTTTCTTTCACGGGCAACAAGAAGTCGGTTGCTGGCGGAGGAGCCAACACATTTTATGGAAAACCAGGGCTGCAATTCTACACCCAACAAAAGACAGTGACCAGTCTCTGGAGGAGCGAGGACGCCGTGGCTTCAAAGGCCAGCGTGAACATGCCTACTCACAGCTAGACATCGAGGCGACTCTGGTATACTAGGCTGATGGGATGTCTGGCAGACTGACTTAGGTGTATATACATAGAGAAGGGTTGACAGTCATTTGGATCAACGTTTTGCAAATGCATCTAGGGGCGATGTTGGAAAAGAGGTATTATCATTTAGTAGATGTTGAAACTCTCATCATGCGGAATTCTAAGGAAGTATACCCGCACAGTGGATGAGTGGCTTGCGGGTTGTTCCGCATGAGTGGGATGTGATGTGTGTGATGCAAGTGGAGAAAGATTCGGCTTCGGAACAGTGGGAATCGTTTAGATCTGAAACATGGTGCAATGGCGGCGCCAGAACATCCCACTGAGGAAGCGCCAAACGCTTGTTCCAACTCGACAAGGCTGACAAGACGATGACCCACAAGATAACACGTGAGTCGATGGTCACCCTCATGCTGACGGCGTCGAGGGAGGGGAGGGGCAAGCTTGAGCTCAAACTACCACACACTACCACACTACCCACAGCCAAGAAGAGTGCATACGCAAGTTTGCCTCAAAAGGTATTGAGGTTGCATGAGATTGCGGAGCTAGCAGCGCTTGACGAATTCGAGACCTGAGAGCTGATGTCGGTGAGCGAGATGATGAACTGGCATGGGCAAGCGCAGAAGTTGGAAAAGCTGGAAGCGAGCTTCCAGTCGGAACAGTGATACGGCGAATGCATGTTGCTGCATGGCCGTGTGGCTGGATCGGCTTTGAAAAAAAAAAGAAGCTGGCTGGCTCGCTCCCGGGTCTTCCGCATAACATTCACTGTCCATTGTTTTCAGAAAGAGCAGCATCGTGCGACAGAAAGGCAGTCACGATACGACTGCTGTGTGAAGGGAAGCACATGCTTGAGAGGCCAGATACATAGATATAACAGAGGCTGTCGGCGTTTCCAGCCTCCAACAGCGGCGCAATCGCCATCATCCGAATTGCTATCTCATCCCTCGTCCATCGCTAAGGCATCGACCGTCCGGCGCAGCGCGTGTTTCGTGTGCTGGTGCATTTTCCCTACCGGCAGATCACGCCGATGCGATTGGCCTTCCGCCACCAGAATCCGCCAATTCACGCTGCCCGATGACGAGTCTGGTGAAAGCGTGCGGCCAGCTTTTGGGAGACGACGCACCACCTCCAGCGGTGCTCAACACTTCCATTAACACCCGCCTCACGCTCTTCGCTGCACTGCCAGACCACTCGTTGTCCCTCATCACCACCGACCTTCTTGACCACGGTCCTGCCTCTCGTTAAACTCGTGACGGCTAGTACTGGCCTTTGTGAGCCGCCCACTTTATCTCGCTATTCCTGGAAGTTCCCCGGTCGTACGCAGGGGCCATATATCGCATCGTGAACGCCGTCTCTCTAAGTCTCCTGCAATCGGCGCGGGCACTACGCCCCCTCTGCTCTAGCAGCGCTGCCAGCCTGCTGTTTCACAGTTCCCAGCTCTAATTCGCGCCGTAGTTCAGTAGATAATAGAGCCACGTCCGCCATGGATCGGCCCCAGCAGCAACGGACCCGGTCTAAGTCGACCTTCTCGTTCAAGAGCGACAAGAGCCACACGTCGGGTCACAAGGGGAAAGAACACCTGCACGAGTCTCCCGAAGAGAAGAGAAGGAGCCATCTGACGGCGACGACCAAGGCGAACCCGAATGCTGCCATGAACGAAGCCCAGCCAAGTATGTGGATTGGTGCCGTTGCAACGCTGCGACGTTGCTAGAGAGTTCCTCGCTGATAGTTGATAGTTGCCGCCGCGCTGGAGAAGCCCACCCTGCAGTCGCTGCGCTCATTCCAGCACACCGATACAAATGGCCAAGTCATTGGTAAGCCCTCAAATCACCCCTCGCCATGACTGTCTCGCTCACTAGTCGTAGCCGAACCCGACCTCTCCAACCCAACACGATCTCGTTGGGAGCGCCCGCTCGACACCATCCGGTCTTTCGAGGCAGCTATTGATAATGAATACAGACGGAGAGCACAGACGATGAGGCCTGGTATGTGTCATCACTCGATATCACACGCAGAGCTCGTACTGACGGAAAGCCACAGAGTCCTCCACAGAAGTTATGAATGGGTATACAAGCCGCAGGAGCAGCTACTATGGAGGTGAGTCATTGCATCTGAACCAAATGCAATCACGAAATTGGGGTGGTGTCCTCGGTCCTCTTGGCTTGCTTTGCATGACTGATTTCAACACCGCTTCTTCGCTTGCGCCCCCCCCCCCCCCCCCCCCCCCCCCCCTCTTGTGTACGGTTCTCAAAGTTCGCTGTCTTGACAACTTACATCAGGCCATGACCAAAATCGCTTCTCCCAAGTTTCTGGTTATTATGGCACCCGACAAGCCGCTGCTGCTCGCGAGAGCTGGGCAGAGAGCGGCTATGGTCCTACGGGTGGCCCTGCGGGCGGCCCTCCACGATCCCGTTACAACCGTATGCAATCAGACCAAGGCTACAATCGGTACGCTAATGGGCACGGCGTCTATCCCAACCAAAGCTATCAGCAATCACAATCGCGAGACACCGTGAACACGGGAGGGTCGAATGGAAGTCATAGTGACCCTTACTCGACCGACCCCAGCAGCGAGAATAGCTCCATCGAGCGTGCAACCCCGGTTACAAAGCCCGACATGGGCGAGCAGTACGGATTCTCAGGATTTGGGGGTGGGCCCCAATTCCAAGGCCCTATTCTTGAAGAGTTTGGAAATGGAGCCAGACTGTCGAACAATGGATATTCCCAACAACAATATCCTACCAGTGCCAACATTCCACCTCCGGTACCTGCAAAGACGAGCCTACTCCCACCCAGCAATGGCCGTCCTATCAAGCTCAACGACGGGCAGGTGCAACCCGGAGCTAGCGTGAATGCCAGGTCAGGTGTCCTGCAGCGCAACAACACAGAGAAGAGGAAGAGTTGGTTCAAAAGGCGATTTAGCAAGGACTAAATGAGGACGAATTTCCAAGTTAGATGGCATGATTCTTGGCGACGTTTTGAGGAACAATTTCTTAAGCTAACCATTATGTGAATGCTTGCTTAAAGGAATTCCCTCGGAGGTCTCGTCAACTATGGGCTAGGCGTTGCAGGCGTGGCTTCTGATTTGGAACTACGAAAATCATGATAACGAAGGCATTGGGTATGTTGGGGACCTTAGTAGCAGAAAGGATCTTGACAACCTGATGCGGCGAGCATGCAATGGGGACTGACAGGATACGTAAGATTCATATGGAGTTTCGGAATGTCCTAATGGAACCGACTGCCAGGCTCAACCGTAATTTTTTTTGGGTCTGTCAAATACTTTGTGGCGTAGTTCGCAAGCTACATTAGGTAATTTGTAATGTCGTGCCGCATTTCAGGATCCACCTGAACCCGAATCTGCTATGTGCATTGGGTGCATTGATAAAGACAGAGAGAGACAGAGAGAGTGTGTTGTGCACCAGTTACGGAGGGCTTCTAAATTCAATCGCGCAGTGGTTACCCCTGCCAGGTTCTGCCTAGCGCTAGTGAATTCCGAGCTTGGAGCAACAACGCCTCCTCACATCCATCCTCCTTAGATAGCGTAGTTCCGCTCGTTCGCCGCTGCCACTCATTTCTCCTCATAGTCTACGTTGTTTATGCTGCTCTGCACTGTCATTTCATAGTTTGAAGTCCTGTCCGGACCGCACCTCCCGTATCCTGCTTCGCTATCTCACGCTCCTTCTAAATTCGGAACTCGAACGCAGCAGGGCCACCGACGGTCTCTCTCCCACTCCTCCATTCACTGAACCTTTGCTTCACTGCCCTTCGAAAGATTCACCATGTATATCACCTCAGAACTCTTTCGGCCTGAATTAGCGGCAGACTTTACGACTCCATTCCTCGACAAAAGCACCATGGTGGAACCACGACACATACTCAGCCTTGGAAAGAGGAAACGGTGTATGGAGGCAGACCCAGCGGCGACAATGAGCGCCAAGTGCGAAAGGGCTTCAGATGGCTCCTCCAGTATGGCAATGGACACCTGGATTTACAGCAGTCACACAGCATTTCAACGGCTCGAATCTAGTGCCACGGCCGCTTGCAAAGTTGGCTCTTCGCCCAAACATCAGCATCAGACCCTGCGCCACGCAAAACCAGATAATAGTCCCTGGGTGCTTAGAGTCCCTGCGCCATTTCCTTCCATGCCTTCAAGCCTAGACGCTCGACCCTTCAAACAACCCCGTCGCCTCCATCACTCCGCCAAGAAAATCTCCCTCCTCAAATCGCCGTCTCATCTCATGGACATCGTTTCTGGACCCTCATCTTCCTCCAATATCGATATAGCTGCTTCGTCGAGCAATACTACTAATTCTGATCTTCGTCCCTGTCATATCTGTCACAAAGCGCCGATGCGAAAACGCGATTTAGAGGGCTATTTCGAGTGCAGAAGCTGTGGTGAACGAGCTTGCTATGTCTGTACACGTTCATGTATTGGGAAGTGCAGGAGACTGCTTTGTAGCAGGTGCTGCGTAGAAATTGGGCAGGAGGGAGATGCGTGGTGCAAGGAGTGTTGTGGCGGTCCAGCTGATGGGTGATTTTGACAAATAGAAGTCGCGTGAGTCGTATAGGACGGGGAAGGAGGCCAGAGAGCTCGTTCTTGGACTGGGACAAGGGTATGTGGTTATCACAATACCAGTTGAACATCAGAGCATATTGAAATGTGTATATATTCCGACACGAAATCTAGTCACGGCGGTCTGTAGGTGAGGCGGGAATGCTTCAAACGCGATGCTATCGTGGTAGCATATTCTTGGTGTAGAGCTTATAGTTTTCGGGAGCGACTTCTGGGGGCGGCGTTCTTCCGGTGAACATACGATTTCTAAGGGCCGGGCAAGGATTAACTTTTAGTGCCACATAGGTTAACTGCATGTTACCACTGAGTATAGCATAGGGGTAATTGAGGACAGGAATTTACCCGCTGTTGACCTTCTCACTTCCAGCCAGAGGTACAACAGATCGACCTTCACCTGATTGGGTCACGTGTCATGTTAGATAACGTGCTGGCCATATATATCTATCTTTTAAGGAGAACTGCCAGGTGAACGGCTAGTATCAGTCTCATTGATATCGGTACCCATGTCCGTTTGCTAAATTTTAAGATGAACCTCTGACTACCTAGTCTTATACTCCTGTGGGATGGACAGTCACCGCAGCCAACACAAGAATAGTTCGAAACTCCAAAATCAATGATGTTTCAAATATCTACAGTTTTAAGACTAAATAAAGCACCAAACCCCCACCTTGCTCAAAGCAAACAAACCAAAATAAGCCACATGCCACCGTCCACCAGAAGAAGTAAAAAAAAGCTTGCAGGGCCAGAAGTAAAACGAAGCAGAAACAAGAGGTCAAACTCGCCAAAACTCTCATAAACCTGTTGCCATATAGGATCCATGAGAAACGAAAATCCCATGGGTATCCAAACGCCCAAACCCAGAACTCCTCGTTTCCTAGAAAAAGACTGACAGGCGTTGACGAGTGACTAGTGGACAGGAGACTCTGGAACATGCATGGTCATACCGAAAACTAGAGGAAAGCACGGTCCGATGGGTAAAACTACAATTGAAGTGCGCACTTTTTGAAGATATACACGCCTGAAAAAAGAGACTATACGACCATTACTATATTAACCACGCTGAATCTAGCAAGGGGTTTGAGAGATTCTAGTTGTTTTGATCATGTACCGTGGTATGGCTAAGTTAGTCAGGCCTTAATCCTTTTCTGATGACTGCTCCCGTCGGACCCCTCATCTGATGTCTTCCGCTTACGGTCATCAAACGGACCTGATCCGTTTGGAGCAATCGGGGTCTGGAAGGGGAGAGGGCTGGGGAGCATATTGTTCTCCCGGCCAAACCCCCATTCGGGATAGAAACTGGAAGGTGAAGGTAGAAGTCCATTCTCCACAAAGCGGCTAGGTAGCGCGGAAAGAGGTGTTTCCATCTCGCTCCGCGACCCGTAGGATCCACTATTCGCTGGTGGTGGCGGTCGAGCAAATGGATTTGGTGGGCCAACGGCGCCAGCACTGAGCAGTGAATTTGCGCTAGGTGATGGAGGAGGAAGAAGAACGCCAGAGCTATGCGAAGCATCGGTGCTTGTCCTCGCTGGCGTAACACCAGTGGTGCCTGAATCTTTGGGTGAAGAATTTGCGGTGGCGCTTCCTGCATCTGAGTGCTCACTAGGAATTTGGACTTTGAGTCGCGGTCTTTTTGCGTCAGTCTGCATACTATTCGTCCTTGATGGCGTTGGAATCGTTGGAACCGATGAAGTGGACTGAGTTCGCTGTGGCTGGTTTGGGAGCTGCTGTGGGATGGCTTGTGGTGGGGAGTTTCCATTGATTTGCGGGCGCGTCATAGATGCCACATCGATGGATTGAGCCCGGGCCCCGCCATCTGTCTTCATTTGAGGTGCTTCGATCCGGTGTGGCTCGAGATTGTTGCTACTTCCCCAATGCGCCGCAAGCATGGATCGGCTGTCATCTATTGGCGTAAAGATACTATGTTTGGCGGCAGAGGGTAGAGGCTTGGGCTGCGGTAGAGGTGGGCTTTGGAAGTTGTTTTGCTCGGGCTGTGGAGGAGAGGGGACTGGCATTGAAGTCTGTCCTTGCGGTTGTTGCCGCTCTGGTTGCTGGAAAGCAGGCGGCATAGACTGCCTCCTCTGCTCTTGCTGCATATACTGCTGCACTTGGGGATGGGTGGGTGGAGGGTGTGTGTATTGATATTGCGGAGGTTGGGGAGCGCCTTGGGGTGGTTTGGGCGGCATTCCTTGCGTCGTCTGAGGGTTGTAGAATGGTGGGTTGGGCATATAAGCATAGTTGTTCTGGGGTGGGGGCGGTTGCGAAATGTGATGTTGGGGCGGTGCGAGATTTGAACTAGGGCGGCGGATGTGAGAGCGGGAGTTTGGTCGCGATACGCTTCCGGGTTGTGGAGATGGATGTCGGTGGTGGTAAGGCATCCCATTTGGCATTGGAGGGGACTCAGAAGGGGTTTGATGCCTGATATGCTGAAAAGCAGCTTGGTTTTGGAGATGATGAGGCATCATGGCATGCTCTGGCGGAGTGTGAGAATCCCTTGGAGGCGAAGCCATCGGCTCATCCTCTTCGTCCTCGTCGTCGATATCCTTCTTCCCCATGAAGTCTTCAGGACCTTTGTGTTCGTGCGCGCCTCCATACTGTAATATGAGTTAGTCTCATTTCAAACAGAAGTCTGCATCCTCTTGGCACCTTCCCAACTGAAGTTAGAGATTCGACAGATCAAGCCCTTCCTGTCGAGGTTCCCAAGGAGATGTGAATATGGGGTGGGGTATGTGGGGTCAAAATATATCATTAGGGTACGTACGTATTGGTAGCGGCCGATAGTCTCGTTAATATCGCCGGAGGAGAACTCATAGAGTTTCTTGTTGTGACCGAAGATAATCACGGCGACATCGACAGAGCAGAGGACGGATAGCTCGTGGGCCTTCTTGAATAGACCGCCTTTGCGCTTAAGAAAGGTGCTAAACGAGCAGGTCAGCGAATGTTTGACGAAAGGTATGGTAAATCGCCTCCAAGCGAGAGACGTAAAGAAAGCTTACACAGAGCGGTTCCGGTCGTCCTTGATAGCCTTGATTTCAATCTTCCTTCGACCCATTGTTGATATCAGACGTCAATGCACATGGAGCGGTATAGGTGTTGAGTGTGGCTGACAGCACGATGGAGGGAGGATGGTAACAAAGGGCAAAGCGACGGCAAGGTGAGGAACACGTTAACGTGTTTCAGACGAGTAGAGTTAACCAGCAGGAGACAGTCGATACCGGGAGCAGGTGGGGAGATGCTCGGCGAAGGTCGATATATGAGTATAATGCGACAGCGCGCGATATGGTTTTGGAGGCCTTCGCAGACGACGTCTTTTGAGGCTCTTGGTCAAAGGTGCGTGTTGGTCGAAGGAACAGTGGGCAAGGTGGGCGTGCACGACGACTAATAATAGAACCGCCAGCGGCGCCGAGAAGGCAGCAGAAATTGTCCGCGCTCTCCTTCCGGACAGCTGGAAAGCTGATTGGTGTACAATGTGAACAAATTATGCCCACTTTGCGAGCTAATAACCCGTAACGAGTCTATTTAAGGAACATTTTCGGCTGCAACGTCTCACCACCTCGGGGAGCTTGGACGAACAAGGGTCCTTTGCCCATCGCGGCGGAACCCTCTTACTTTCTCCGGCTCGAGGCCAGTAACGACGAGCAGCCCTTCTCGCACTGTGGGATGCAGGTGGCGGCCCTCCCACATCCAATTTAGCAAATAGGAATTTCCCGTCTGCAGAACATACGGAGGCCACTAAATTTGTGAGCAGCATCAGGAGGAGCTGGCTGAACAGAGCGTCGTAGTTGGTGGTCAGAAAGATGGATGGACGAGAGCCGCGAGCATCGAAGCCAGATGACAGCTTGTCAATCACCGCATCTGGGTACGCAGACGCTGGTTGTTGTCTCTCGGTCTGCGCGTGTGTTTGTGTGCCCGTCTGTACCGGGCTGGGTGCAACATGCGCAAGGCATGCTGCTGCTTGCACAACCCGGCGGGGCCTGGATGTTCCACCTCTTCCAGCAGTGCTTGAGGATGCTCTCACCCGTCGATCGCTTTCTGCTATTGCTTTCGGCCCGAGGCACCATCCTCTTCCATTGTAGAGCATCAACAGGATCTAATGACTTGAAACTGCTGCTAGGATGAAGAAGAGTGCCAAAATGATACAGGTTTGTGTACTCAACCAGACGCCAGGGGCCCGGAGCAGTCGCTGAAGCGGTAGTCTTCCCGTCTGTGATCACTCGGCTGCAGAGGAGTGCCGTCGACCGTCGTACGTCGTACACCACTGAGGTTCGATCTGAGTTTGTGTTTGGCATTGTCTAGCCAGATCGGTTGTGGCTGCACGCTAGAGCAGCAGGAAGCACATGGTTGGGACGTTCTTCCTATTTTTAGCAACGAGGTGGAAGGAGCGACTGCGTCATAACGGCCTTCGTCTGATCACGGCCAGACTCCAAAGCATTAACAATCTACTGCCGGCAACTTCTTCTCCACAACCCCGTTGACATAATCTCACCTGCGTAAACGCCCGTATATTCACTCTGATAGCTGAATGCCTCTGACTGGTTGCTGGGCGGGCCTCACATGGCCTTCTTCTCCAGATCCGGCCACTGAGTTCCACCTGATATTATTTCGAGTGTCCTCCCCACGCCCGCCCTCTACTCCTCTGAACCGGCATGCTGGATGTTCCCCTGAGAGAAGCTTAATGTTGCTAATTGAAGCTCACAGAGCAGCTTGCCAGGTTGATATCCCCGGTTCCTATGCCTCGTGGTGGCTGCAGGCACGTTTCGCTTTCACGCACACTCGAGCAGCTGCTGAGAAGGGCATTACCTCATTAGGCCATCACGATCTGCCTTTTCATCTATCAGTCACAAACATCAACAGTTAGAGCAGCCTCATAGACCCACTCGTTATTCTTAGACCTACGCCGCTTCCGTGATGCAAATCATTGGTCTACTACGACATGCCCCTCACCTCGAAACGCCCAGTTTGCATTATCAACAAGCTCTAGTGGCTTTCTGGGACGATGGTTCTGCTGTTTTTACTTTCCCTGTCTGCTCCATCTCTCCTGAAGGGGGTGAAGGGGGCTATCACGCGTTCACCAGGTGTTGTCGATTGTAGTCTCTCGGTTTAGCTGTTGCACCCTGAAAGAAGCCAAGTTCTTAGTCCAAAATAAGAAAACAGGAGAAGTGAAACGAAGCTGAGCGGCACAAGCCTGCCTCCAGAGCGCGAAGACGTATGACCCGTTTGCCGACATCATACTGAATACCAAGTAGTATTGACCTATTTCTGATTTGTTTCTAAACCCCAGGAGACGGCTAGGAGGGCATAGTCTGTATTCTCTAATCTCAGTAGAGCATCGTTCCACTCGGCGTGGAACATTACAAGTACAATTTAGGACAGAAGACTGCGTTATGTTAATATTCTCCTTACTTCCAGCAAGAGGGTTACCCAACCGCATCTACATTGATAATATTCCACGCTGGGTTCAATATGTTGTATGGTTTCGCCGGTCTTAGACATTATCGTCTAGTTCTTCTCTCCACATTTGCTACTCTAGGCTTCACAGCGATGTTCTTTAGCTAGCGAACTCTTCTTTGTTAAACGGCAAGCCTCAGCATCTCGGTCTGGAAGATCTCTACCGGAGGGGCGCGTAGATCAACAAGGCCTTCCCACTACTATTACCGTCATATCACCTCACCTCTACGTTAGCTGCCTTCACGGACAGTGTCAACATTAATTCCTTCCTATTTCCATAATTTCGAACACGAACCAATGGTTGCTTGGCCACTGCTTCCTTTTATCTCCATTTTGTCTCTTCCTGCACTCGTTTAAGCCAAAGTGAAGGCCCTTCAACAATATGTGGTATCCTCGATTCAGTTGGTGTTCTCTGGGGCAGACTATCTAAAGGTGCACCATACGGTTCATCTCGAATCCCTTTCTTTTAGACTGCTTCCTGAACCTATGTGTCTGAAGTTTGTCTGTACGCAAGGGGCCAGCTCTCACTGCGAAGCACCGAAAGGAAAAGTCTGTTCTGCGAACTCTCTTACTAGAATTCAGAAGCATGTCAAGAGGATGCCAGTTCCTCGCCCGAATTATATCGCTGTCAGGTTCCGCCATGAGTATTAGTACCGAAATGCCGTATCTCCCCAAATTCTCACTAACGGGGAAAACTTTAGGGTTTCAATCTCCTGTCAGCTTCGCAACATTCTCACAATCTATGCTTCTGCCCAGAATGTCCCTACGTTGTTCACTCCAGGTAATACGGGCCTCAGAGGCGCAACAAGAATGATCAACGTCTTCTGGAAACAGAATGGGAGGTAAATTGTCCTTAGGAATGTGTGATATTTATCCTATTTAAGATCTATTTGCTATAACTAATACGAAGGGCCGATTCTCTGATCACGATCACGTGCGTGGCTGCTGAGTTCGCTTACCTCGTTGGGCATCGGTGGATCGTACCAAGCCCCGCAAGTCAGCCGCATCGAGGGCTGTGACCCTGCTCTGACTTCACTTCTTTCTATATATACAGCCTCCGTCCTTCGTGCCGTTACTCTCTACTCTCATATATCCTCCACAAACCTCGACCTAGTACAATGGCATACAACAAAGGCTTCAACCCCGACAGGTTGCCCGCTCACGCGGAGCCAGAGCAGGTTTGTTACCCACCAGCACACAAGAACAGTGTGAAGTGGCAGAAATTGACACTTTAACAGGCGGCCGCACTTCTATCCGGGAACAATCAACAGGCACCACGACCGCCTCGTACTTCGTCGGCGCGTCCCGACCACAACAAACCTCCACCGCCAGTGCCTTCCAGGCAGGAACTACGACCGGGTGATGGCTATGGTCGCGGTTACGACAGTAGACCACCGCCTGGGGCATACAACGATCCTCGCTACAACAGCCAGCAACACAGTCCTCGCTACGATCAGCAGCGCCACGATCCCCGCTTTGACGGCTACGGTTCTCCCCCACCGCAGAACTACGGCCAAGGCCCGCCTCCGCAAGGCTACCATGGAAGACCACCAGTGGTAAATCGACCGCCACCTACACCCGCCCCGCCGCGAGATGGCAATGATAGAGAGGCTCTTTGGAGATTATTTGGTGCTGTGGACAAAGATGGTATGTCCCTTTGCACTTGCCACAATCAAGGCTGACAGACCCTCGCAGGTAGCGGTCAGTTGACCGAGGGCGAGCTGCGTACTGCTCTCGTGAACGGTGATTGGTCCCCATTCGACCCCCATACGGTGCGCATGATGATCAGAATGTTTGATACTGATCGTTCTGGCGCTATCAATTTTGACGAATTCTGGTCAGTCTGCGTCAATACCCTCCATGCCCATTTTCTCCCGGCTACTAACGAGGTGACAGCGGTCTCTGGGGCTTTCTCTCCGCTTGGCGAGGACTCTTCGACCGATTCGATGTAGATCGTTCAGGCAGCATATCCTACAATGAGTTCACCGAGGCTCTTGTAGCTTTTGGCTACCGCCTTTCGGCCCAATTCGTGCGACTGCTCTATGCCACATATGACAGGCGAGGCGAGAATGCAATTAGCTTCGACCTATTTGTTCAAGCGTGCATTAGCTTAAAACGCATGACCGATGTTTTCAAGAAGTATGATGAGGATCGGGATGGCTATATCACACTGAGTTTGTATGTTCGCCCCATTCACATCAACTATGAAGCCAATAAACGTAGAGATGGCCTGGCTAACATGACCCCAGCGAGGAATTCCTTACAGGTGCGCAATCACTATTTCTATTCAACTCCATCTCGGCCGACACTGATACCGGACTCTACTAGAAATCATTCGTCAACGATAAGACAAGAGTCTCAAACACACTGATGTACTCGGGCTTATGTTTCGTAATTGATTACGCTGTATGGTCTTAGCCTCACCCCATTTCAAGTCATTGGATAGATCGTCCAAGGCCATTTGCGTATGAAGTAGGTCTAGAAGGAGCATTGCTGGTAGCGTAGAGGTTTTAACGGCTTGGATCTGGTAGAGTTCTGGGATGCCGTTGATAACGAGCCTTCTGAGTCGAATGACTTGGTGGCTGCTTTGATACCCGTACAAGTAATATTCATATCGTAGTGTGAGTCTAAACTGCTTGTGAATAAGTCGAAACCGGCTTCGCTGTCACACTTCATCAACTCATCGAGGCCTTAGACAAGGGTCGAGTTAATCCTACTTTAAGGGGGAGGCGTTAGCACAAAGTTTACTTTGGGGACATTGGCATATTACGGAAATGTGCGTCCTTATTTGTCTGTCTACCTCATTCTCACACCATTATTAAATTTCAACCCCCCCAGTCCATTCTATGCATGAAGTACGCCAACATGCAACTATTCGACTCGGGGAATTTGCACAGCAACCCACGCCCAAACTATGGATGACCCTACGGTTGCGCATGCACTCCGAACTGCATCAACATGGACAACTTGCACCATCTAGATACAGAGCCCACCTAGCCTTCACCAAAGAAAAAAAAAAATTGAGATTACATGAACAAAAGGACAAACCAAGACGAATGTTGTTGCTTGCTGTGATATCGAACGCTGCACATTGGAGAGGGTATTATATGTAGATCCAGGAAGACTACGGAAAATTTGGGTATCAGAGCTCGGAATGCTGGGAAAGCGTCAATGGTGTATTTGTTAACGCAAAATGACAGGCACCTGAGATGGACGTCAGCAGAAGGGGCCAGCAAATCGAAGAGAGACAACAGACCTGGTGATTTAGGAAATGATTCCAATCATCGCTTTGCGCCTCCTTGCCCTCCTTCAATGTTGCCAGTTAGCTCGGCAACACGAGCTTTGATGCGAGCTACGCGGCTCTCAATCGTTTCCTCCCCGCTAGTTTCACCTTCGTCTGTACGAGCACTCTGGCTCTGGCTTCGACGAGACTGCTCCTCACTGAGTCGTGCTGCTCGTTCGGCTGCATTCTTCCGGATCTGAGCCCATCGATCTTGCGAAGGTGAGACTTGACGAGTTAAGTCTATCGACTCTTCAGACACATCATCCTTAGCTGCGGGCACCTCTTGGGTCGGAGTGTGGACGTCTCGCCGATAGGAGCCTTGATGCGCCTGATCAAGAGGGGGCCCGGCCAGCGCAACTAGGGCTTCATCATCGTCAGAATCATCGTCGGGAACGAAGGCTGGCATGTCGTCCATTGGGCCTTGGTCAAACCGAGAAAAAGCTTGGTCTGCATCCCTCTGCTCACGAGTGTTAGTGCTTGGTTCAGCTGGGCGAGCTGGTTCATGGTACTTCTGCGAGACAGCAGAAACGTCCGCGCTCGGTTCAAGTACTGGAGAGCGGGCTCTAAGAGGCTCTTGTTTCTCTATACTGTAAGTTGGAGACGGGTCGCGCACAGGAGAATGATGACTTTGAGGCTGCACTGAAGCGTCACCGGCGTACGAATCTGGAGACTGCAAGCCAGCTTCACCTTCAAGATGAGTGGCAGTCTCGTGTGATATAGCTGTGTCAGCCTTTTTCTTGCCACCAAAGAACTTCCTGAAGCCACCGCCGCCGGCGGCGGCATTCTTTTTCAGCTTCTTCGGCGACGGTTTCTTCGGTTGGGCAGCCTCAGAAGTAGATGGTTGTCCCTCTGCAGCACGATTATCTTGCCAAGACGGGCCAACGGGCTTGCGTTCAGGGACAGGCTTCCTTAAAGCTGGATGTTGGTCTAGGTAGTCCCCTTGTTCTGTCACCTTCTCATCAAGCGCCATAGGGGTGGCGTTTGGCAGAGGTACTTGAGCTGCCGAAGAAGCTTCCCCTCTTTGAGACTTGATCGCACCCGGATTTGGAGTGGCTGGTAGGGGAGCGGGAGATGGAGCATCTATTCTCGAACTGTGCACATCCGTTTCGCCTAGAGGGAGCGAGGGGAGATCGCGGTGCGAGAAGTCTCGAGACAGTGATGGCGCACCCCCGTTGGCGGTGATAAGGAGATTGTCCCTCGACCCTTTGCCCGCACTTACATCGCCCAGATATTTCGCTCTGATCGTTTCTCGGTCCCTGTTCGGATCCTTCGCTCCTTCGCCAAATTTCTTGTCCCATTTCATTGCCGGAGCGGCCTCACTCATAAGAACAGGCTGTAATGTCATAACACTGTTCGTCTTTGTGGAAACTGCATCATCAACACGTGCCCGCCGCTGAGCTGTGTGTTGCGCTGCTACCTGATCTTTTTGGTTCTGGGCTAGTCTTGCAGCTGCAGCTTGGATTCGAGCATGTTGATCTGGGCCAATACTGGTCTTGCTCATAGGCGTACCCGAAGTTGTGCGATTGTAGGGTTCCTTTGAAGGGGCTAGCGGCTTTTTTCCGGTCGATTTTCGGCGCCCTAAGCGTCCTCGCCTCGTGAAACTGAAACGTCCTTTCTTTTCCGCAATGTAGGCACCTTCCTCGGGCCCAGGAGAAGCGCCTTTGACCTGCTCTTCAATCACTAGCCACTTCGCCCCGGGTATACGCGTTTCGATCAAGGTGCATCTGCCAAAAGCAGCTTTGCGGTCCGTGGATTCCTCTCCAGCCAGACTCGTCATCCACACCCACCAGAATGTATCATCCAAGTCAAATTGGGTGATACTCGCGAGCTCACCCGGCTCCAAGTCATCTTGAGTTTGTAGACCATTGCGCATGTGAGATTGAGAGCTGTGTACCCGGGCGGCTTCGCCAATGGGTGGGAGAATTTTATCTGGGGGCAATAGTAGTGGCGGAGGTTTCGTGTGGCCGTTTTCATCGGCAAATCCAGAAGATAAGAAATCTGCCCAAGAAGGTGTAGTAGGTCGACCAAAGTCGGTGTTTCGAGAACGAGGCCCCGAACGGAGTGATGAAAATTCGCGACCGCCTCCGGACAGCGAAGTGCCGTTGGTGTTGCTAAAATTCGAGCTCTCGAGGAGGCCTGAGAATCCTAAATCTTCAAATCGAGACCAAGAAGCATCTTGCGTGCCCCCTTCAGGGGATATCACAGACTGATTGGTAGATGAGATGCATTGTAGTACTCGTCGGCACTCGTCCGTCAGTGCCCTTACTGGGTCTTCGTAAGAGGAAAACTGCTGTAACGCCTCGTCGTCGTCACGATATTCAAAGTGCTTAGCCCGGCGAAGGAGGGCAAAAGGGGTTGGGGAGACCGAGTCGACTATCATGACCACCTTAGTTGTAACAGTCTGCATGAGGACCGGGGCTTGAGGTGGATACTCGGTCTGGGACAGCAGCGCCTGGAGGGAGCGAGGCAGCGCAGATATGCCACCGATAGCTTTGGAGTCCGGAGAGAGCGATCGCAGGTATGCGAAGAAGAGGTGGCTTGCGGCATCTGCAGCTTTTGCCCAGCACCGATATCCCCCATCAAAGCCCTTTCCATCGTCTGAATGCTCAAAGGCCCACCAGCCTGCCATCCTCGACAACTTGCGCCCGCCCATGCCATTTGTCTTGCCTCGGGCAGCGACGGCCGACAGTAGATCGAAGAAATCGAAGATGATGTGCTTGCGGGCGTCCGAGTCGACGCTGAGGGGAATGAAGGTGTCGAAGGCGTGTCTAGCAAAGTTGGAGTCGGATTCTCCAATGCGGAAGAGCTCGTATGCATCCCAGGAGACGACACCCCCCGGAAGTCTGCTCCAGCACCACTTCATGATGCTGCACAGCACCAATGGCTCGGCGAGGCGCAATTCCTGGTGTAGACCCGGGCCTGAGTACTGCGAGCTACCCTCGTACGACGATCTGAAGAAATTGCGGACGAAGTTGCGGGCGGCGCTGGGGTCGGAGGTGGGGCGGAAGGGGAGCAGCAAGAAGGGCATGTCCAGGGCCCGTGACTTCATCTCTTGCGTGCAGACATGTATGAGCTCCTGTATCTCGTTAGGAGCGACCTCCTTGCGGGACCACGACTCCTCCCATCGCGGCTTTGGTAAGGCGGCAGGGCCGTCGCTGTGGTCGGCATGTTTGGCGGCCCTAGAGGAAGACCGAGGGCCGTCCCTCGACCTAAAGACGTTCTTGAAGAAGGGCATGGCAGTGAGAGCGAGTGGCAGGCTGCCTCAGGGTGCGCAGGGCTGCATCCGCTGCTGCGGCGAGGGGGGATGCGAGGGCGGGAGCGGAGACAGGGTGGATGTGTGAGGGATGAAGTCTCAGGTCAGTCGTCGTCAGTCGTCAGGCGCGCGCACACGCTGGGACGGCAGATAGCGGAGGATGGAAGGGGAAATTGGGGGATTGGGGATTGGGTGGGCAGTGAAAGGGTTCGGGTTGCGCTGCGACGATGCAAGAGGATGACCCCTTGAGAAAATGAGAGAAGCTCGAGCCAGGCGAAATAACAATGCTGCTAGTGGTAATAATCCACCGCCCAAGTGCGCGACCACGAAACACGCCAACGGCCAGGCGCGTCTTCCCCAGCAGACGCCACGTCCAGACGACGGCTCCTTGTGCATGCGCCTCGCCCTGTGGACGGCTGTCGTCCGCGCCGGATGCGCACGTCGCGAACATTGATATCCACACACTTCTGCTGTCAATTGCTTTTCGCTACGTGCTTTTCACTTCCTCCTCGCCCTCCACCCTGCAACTGGCCTTGATGCCTCATTTCCTGCCCTGCGCCACTCAACGCCCACGTCAATGACCCATCCCAGAACAGAGTGATGCGCTGTCGACCTCTTATCGCGCGGCGAATCAGCGCACGTAACGTGCCGACGTCGAAAACTCTCCTGCGCCCTCCCCGGCAGCTGCCTCTCGGCTTTGCCTTTCTCAACAGCGATGGCCGCTGCTCCTCCGACTGTTCGCCCAGAGTCACTTCATCATCGAGTGGACCATTATCTGGGGACGAACCTCTCCCTCACGTCCTGCAGCTCCTCGGCCGCTCATTCTGCGTATATTGCGTCATGTTACGGTTAATCTGCATGCTCACAGCAGAAAAAATTGCCCGAACAGCGCTGCGCGTGGCCTGCCAGCTGGTATCAGCGTCCGAGCACTAGTCCGAGCCGAGGGTCCAACACGCATGATTTTGCTGTCCCCAACCAAGGCACACTGCCCTCGCACCTTTGCCTCTCAATCGAGTCCATGTGGAGACGAAACGCGCTCTCGTTGCATTGGCGCAGGGTTGCACTTCCCTGAACCCGTCTACCTTCAGCCCAAAAAGATCTATTTGCAGCCTGCCCACCACGCAACCTGTATCAGTATTTCTGTTAGGACACCCGCTTTTGCAAGAACTTAACCCCCGATGTCCCACAACTAGTTCCCTCCCTTTTCTGTGAACAGGAATACCGTTTTCCATTACCAGCATTCTTGGCGCACGCCAATTACATTCACCCCCAGGTATCAGAGCCGCAGCGTACATTCCCTGGGTAATTGGCGGCAAGTCTTTCTCCGCATTTATTCCAGCTCTCTGGCCCATCTTAGGCTGTGAGACCTAGCCGGCTTCTTCCCAGCTTTGAAGGGCACTTTCGGCTCGGACTATCCAACGCGCCTCACCGGTAGATAATGCACATTTCATCCCTTATGTCAACGAAGTCACAGAACGCCAAGCGCCTGGTTATATTTCCTCGCAAGTAGCTGCCTCCCTCAACTTCTCAACGTCTTCCTAAAGTCAACGGACAGCTTCCAAGCACATCTGCGGCCGACTGGTGTTTCTATAGTAAACGAGTCGTGAGTGGATAGCTTCGGCGAGCGATATTGTTTGCTTGTTGTATGCCGCCTCTCCGCTTTCGATAGCTAGGCGATTAAGAGCAAGCATCCAAAGCGTCGGATAGTGATGGTAGTGCCCATCACAATCAGGACCTATAGGTTCTTCGTTCCCTATGCGAAGTCCTCCGGCCAGTGGGTGCCTATTTAAAACCCCCCGGGCAGGTAGGAAGGATGATTGCGCGTTCTCCTGAGCGCCAAATGCAGGGCAGATATGAAACAGTTGCAATGTGCAAGGTGGACTAGCTACTCAGTAGGGAAATTCAAATCCGCCATAATATGTCAACAGCGACTATTCACGGTTAGACATAGCGTCACGTACAAAGGAATTAGTGCAAAGCACCTTCTGGTAGTGGATTTTATGGACAGACTGATGGCTCTGTTGGAAACGAACAGATATATATATAGCAATGAAAAATTTCCCACTCGCATTGCTTCGTGTAGCCATTTGATCGTCTTCTATGTTCAGAATCCGAGGGACAAGTCCTCTTTGAGGTATCAGTTGCGAGGAGACAGTCAAATTATGTAAAGTTGGCGATCGTACACGTGACAGCGTGTTTTCTAGTCCCTACTAGCCGCATGGGGCTAGATCTAAGCTTGTCCGAGTGGCTTCACAACCTTGGAACTCGCTTGCTCTTTGCTGTGCATTTTCTGGAACCTCCAACCCTTTCCAAGGTTGTCTCGACGCCCTTGCAGTCAATACATACCAAAGAAGAACCGTTCTCGCCATGCCAGCTCCTCTTCAGTGTCCACTCTCAGAAGTCGATAAGGCGCTGTCGCCTTTCGTCAATTCCAGGGAAGAAACGTTAAAAGTCCGAAGGGTCCTCTCAAGATACATGGCCACTTCGCTGGGCCAGTTCAACTCTAGCACGAGCACAGGATATCCGCATTTGAGCTTTGAGTGCCCTTTTGATTCTTCCAAGGTCGTACCTAAGCTCTCGGATTCAAGGCAAATCAGATTCCAATACATCAACGCCCTCCAAGCACGATCAAGAGCCCATGCCCGCCATCACGAACTCAAGTCTCTGCTTGATGATCTTCGCAACGGTCATTTCATTGAACTACCTAGCCAGACTCGTGCTCAGTACGATAGCGACGTCACGCGAGGCTATGTGTGCCTTCTTCGACAACGAAGCCGTTTCTCCTCGCTCCAGGTCGTCCAGGCTTCTCTTGAAAAGCTTCTCAATGTTAATCCCGCAAGTACTCCAAATGACCCTAGATCTCTCGTGAGAGACGCTGTAGGAGAGCAGCCAGGTCTTCCCTTGCAACCATTAGAACTTCTCACACGCTACTCTGATGTCGAAGACTGGGTCTTCAAATTAAAAAAGCAAGTTCTGGAATCGAAGGCGGCCATGAATGGCGCCAACTCAGCCCGAGCGGAAGCAAAGATAAACCCACAAGCGGTTCTAAATTTGAAACAACAAGTCTATGCGCTTGGTTGTGCGAGAGACGAGATAGTGGCGTGGGTGCAAGATGAATTAGCTAAGTTTCCAGAGGAGTCCGAATTTCTTGAAAACGCATCTCCACTTAAGCAAAGCGGAGACCAAAGCGCTGCACTTGACACGGCTTTGTCCGAATCTCATTTCAGAGAGGTGTACAATCGGTACACAACATCCCGCGCAAGTTTACTCGAAGCCCTCGATTCCATCAACAGGCCGGCGAGAGTATGCCAGGCTTGGCCAGACAGGATAAATGCGCATACTCAGGGAGAGAGCCAATCATTCAACCACTCAAACCCGCCTACCACCATCACAAACGTGCTTCCACAGCTTCAATCTCTTGCTACGAGTTTGCGGGAAGAGCGGGCTCTACTTCTACAAGCCGTTTATCTACAGGTCCAGTTTTCTCTCGCGGCAGAAAAGGCCAATGATTCTCTTTCCCGCCTTTCGGAAGAAAGTCACCTCCTTCCATCGGGCTCTAAAGAACTAGCAGCCTGGGCGCAGACTGTAGCGCAGGCAGAATCAGCCACCGGGCATTTTGTTACTGCATGGCTAGAAGATATTCTTCAAGAAGTGAACAGCATATCAACAATTGGTGACCTCTCGTCTCTACAAGATCAGGTGTTAGCCCACGCGTAGGAGCATTTGTGTGCACCACATCCGCAACCAATACGGAACATTAACAGGAAGCTCTGATTAGGTGCATGTCTTGCTGGAATTAGAGGGGGCATTGATAAACTTCAAATTTGTATCCCAAGTCAATCCATGGGGTTTTGTCTTACACATCAACATACAATACATTACTATCTGTTGTTGATGTTGAACCTGATGATTCTAGAGAGACCGCAGCTTAGGGTCGCGTTGGCAACACCTACTGAGGCATTGGGCACTGCATGCAGTTTTGATAGATGAAGAAGAATGAAGAGAGGTCAAATGACGCAGCAATCGCCCCGGATCTGGCTTCGATCGAACGAGCATCCACGTGCAGAAGGCGGACTTAGGAAAGGCTTAACTATACCGTACGTACTCCATTTGAACAACCTGGTGTGCGATCCCGGTCAGGTTGCGGCTTGTAATCTTCTGGAAATACGCAAGTCCACATGCCATCAAAATATATGATGCTGTAGTACATGCACCTTAATTAGCCTCACAGCACCCCCGTCGGAATTCATCTCTTGTTCAAGCGAGCCGAATCAATCCACGCTCTCGAATGCCGTACTCAGCCTGAAACCCGCACAAAAGCGACGACTCTCCCTCCGACATCGACAAATTACTGATGTCGGATTTACCGGCCGCATTTTGCAAATTGAACAGCGTAGATTGGCCAGTCGACATGCTCGCTGAAGAGCTCACTCAAGGCTTTCATATTAATGTATACATCCACATATCGCAAAATATTGAATTCTAAACTAACCTGGAGATGCCCCAGCACGGCTTTGTGCAATCCCAGTTGCCACCGTGGGGGCCCCGTGGTCCATACATAAGAAGATAGGGACCACCACCTATGCGGAACACTACGACTGAGACTGCACGCTGTACGCCTCATTCCCAAGTCATCATGCGTTCTATTCAATTGATCAGCAGTGCGGTGGCATTTGCCGGGCACGGTGAGCAAAGCCCAGTTTTATGGGAGAGAGTGCAGACTGACAGACCTGTGTAGTGTACGCCCAGGTGGACTCAAAGGTCTCTTGTGACTCTGTCACCAAGATATGCTTCTCGACTTATACGAATACGGAGAGTGGCATGAGCTTTGGGATTGCCCTCCCCAGTAATGTTACTGATCCCTATGATGCCATCATTTCGATTACCGCGCCTGTGAAGAATACATGGGCAGGATTTGCTTGGGGCGGAACTATGGTGTGGAATCCACTCACTATTGCGTGGCCCAATGGCAAGACTTCAATACCATCCTCTCGATTCGCATTGTACGATATATCCCAATCTTCACAAGAGATCCTCTAACATTAGACAGTGGCATCAGTCTTCCTCTACAATACGACGGGGCCGAGTATACCTTGATGAAAGGAACAACGGCCAATAGCACACACTACACTATGGTAGCGAGGTGTCGTGGCTGCACCGGTTGGCAATCCAACGAAGACACCCGCTTTGCTTTGAACGGTACTGGGACTACCCAGTTTGCATGGGCTTTTGGTACTGGTGCAGTAGAACAGCCCTCGAGTAACACTTCAGCCTTCAACGTGCATGAGGCCTTTGGCAAATGGATCCACGATCTGAACGCTGCTCGCAGCTCAAGTTTCAACTCCTGGGTTGCGAACAATCTCTTGGAAGCCCCTGCGGCGACCAGCAGTGTGCCGAAATCGACCACTCGACCAACCACGATCCCTTCCACCATTGTGACCAGTGTGAAGCCATCTAACACCCCTACCGTGAAAGCGTCGATCCCTGCTTCCTGCTCCGGTGCCGGATCTGCTGCATTCTCGTCTGTTCTGGCCAGTGGTTGGAAAGCCACTAAAGTCCTCGGCGGATTGACCAGCCCGCGAAGTATCGTGTTCGACTCGGCTGGAAATATGCTTGTTGTACAATCCGGAAAAGGAATTTCATACCATGCCATGTCAGCTGACGGCTGCAGCTCCTCTACCAAGATGCTGATCTCACTGAACAGCCTCAATCATGGCATCGCATTTAGTCCTGATGGGAAAACACTGTATGCTAGCTCCATGACGCAAGCATACTCCTGGCCCTATGATGCTACCGCCGGCTCAGTCGGAACCAGGACAACCGTCATCACCGGTATGTATAATGGTGGCGCACATCTCACTCGCACTCTCCTCGTCGCGCCTCACAAGCCGAATTTGCTGGTTGTCTCTCATGGATCAAATGACAACTTTGATACTGCTGCCGGGAACCCCAAGACGGGCCGTGCGATCATTAAGGTTTTCGATTTGAGCGCTATGCCTAGTGGAGGCTACAACTACGTGTCAGGTGGTTGGAATGCAGGTTATGGGCAACGCAACGAGGTCGGAATCACGTTCGATGGAAACAACATGTCAGTAGTTATTCGTCTCATCTGGATTGCCCTAATCACTAATCGTACTGTAGGCTTTGGGGTGTCGAAAACAGCGGCGATAACTTCAAACGAACCGTGAGTGGTAACGCTAAGGATATCCATCAAAACAACCCAAGCGAGAAGCTCCACTACATGGGCGATGTCACGAAACCTAATGATAACTGGTACGGCTATCCTACATGTTTTACGGTCTGGCAGCCCAGCGATTTCACCGACAAGACATTCAAAGTTGGGGATTGGTTTGTTGTTACGCCAAACAGCACTTTCGGCGATGACACATGCAATACAAAGGCAGTTGCACCCGCATTGACCTTCATGCCACACTCAGCCCCGATTGATTCCAAATTCGACGAAACGTACAGCAATCTGTATGTGACTTTCCATGGGTCGTGGAATCGACAGCCAACAACTGGATTCAAGTTAGTGGTTGTTCCCTTTACCAAGGGTAGCGATGGAGCCTACAAGCCCGTAGCTCCCCTCTCCAGCAACTCTGGCTACACAGATGTCATGACCAACCCCGACGTCACTAGGTGTTCAGGTAATGGTCCTAGCATGAGTTCAGGTTGCTTCAGGCCTGCTGGACTTAGCTTCGACAAGTCGGGCCGTCTCTACATGACAAGCGACACTTCTTCTAATGGAGAGGTCTGGGTCTTGGGTAAATCGTAAGCTACAGTATCAATTTGTATATAGCTACATTGTGTCATAGACTTTTCTTGCTATGAAGGAATCCCCTGATGGCTTCTTTTGAACAATTATTCACTCTGAGTTTTCTCTCAGGCTTCGATGTGATCTGATGCTAAATATGCAAGTTGCTTGAAACCTTAGCGAGCAACATATGCCCCACACATAACATGTCCCTAAAGGGAGCATTTGCAAGCTGCCGAGTCGCTGAGGGCCAAAGGACCACAAAATGTAGAGGATATATAAAGATATAGGCGTTAGCACAAGTCAAGTTGACTAGGGCGGCGAGTTTCTTATCAAAAACAGATTTAGTGTATTAAGGAAATTACAATTTCGCAGCCAACAAAAGCGTAAACAGATCTGAGCTCCCACCGATATTCAATCAAACAATTGCTACCTCCCTCCATAAACGCCAATAGCAGTAACAAAACAAGTTTATTTGTATATCACAAACATGTATTGTACAATATAGACACTGCACTGGGTAGCTTCCCTAGATAAATTGGCGGGTCGTGGTCCAGATCTCTGTCCTTTGAGGGTCGAGGGTTGTTCCAACACATCCAGTCAAGTAATTTTGCCATCCCGTAAGAGGATCGGCCTTAGATGCAAGACCTTCCCTGATAGTCTGTGAACATTGGGTTTTCAAGAACCATGCTGCTGAACCGAAGCTCTCATCATCTCCGCCGACCAAGTTAAGAACAGCTGTTGCATCGCCCGCCTCCTGGACCGTTGCAGCGCCGAACAGCGATGCTGCATACTGTAGGTTCAACCCCGGAAGTTGCATATTTCTCGTACCTTGCCCAGGTCTACCAGGGGCAGGGTAGTGGTTCTTGTTGTACTTGAAGTTGCCGCTTTCGAATAGCATTAGGGCAATCAAGGCCGCTTGTTCGCCGGCGCTGTCAATGCCGTACTTAGTGAATGATTTCGCAATAGGGCCTGCCGCTTGTGCCGCAGTCCGACATTCGCCAGGAGCATCTGCAGGTGCGTTGACACAACTCGCCGTTAAAGGTGCGATGGCTATGATGGTATCCGCCGTCAAGGTTGACCGGATCTTCGTAAGAGGAGCAGCCGTAGTGAGGGAAAGTGCACTAGCAGCGAGGAGGGCAGCCGTAAGAAGCATTGTGTAGGAGGACGCCCTCAAGCCTGTTGTTTAGTCCAGGGGGATAGGTTGTTGAATAGTTTGTATAATGACTTGTCGCCAGGAGCAAGTCCGAAAGCTTATTTCATTCGTAGGGAGTTATAAAGACGCTAAATTGGCTGCGTTTAGGCTGCGTTTGGCCTGTGTCGTTGGTAGAGGGTGCGAAATCTGAAGCGCAAAAGATTGTTTTAAGAAAGAGAAGTTCTGGGTATAGTGTAAGGACTTTATGTATGTGAGAAGGTCAGGCAGTGCTCACGTACATTGATTGTGAAATTGATTGGGCTGTGTAGGTCAACGCTTATCACACTCACAATGAGGTAGGTATCGGTTCCTAAAGAGAAGAAACAATAAAGGAGAGAAATGCATCGTGAAAAAATTGGGCCTGTACCTGTTTTCAAGAATGTACTACTACTGCGCGACTGTGTACAGAGCTGCTTCTACAGGGATAGGCGGCAGTTGAAGAGGAATGAGAGGTCAATCCTTACTGGCCTTGGGTGAAGGTGTTCCAAAAGGCACGTGATGCTGCGACTGGTGGCTTTTGATTGGATGGGACTGACCATCATTGGTTTCATGTAACTTGTATCTGTTTCGAAACCCGTTCAGGACAGGAAAGCGCTGGTTTTCAGGACGCTTTTGCGCACATGACTATAGAAATGTACGGTAAGACGTTGATAAGACCTCTGTCGTCGCCGATGAATTTCGGTCGTGCTTTGAAATCGAGTGCAACTGTGGGCGCCTCGGCTATGTGTGTTAAAGCCGTTGCGTATTTACGTTCCTGCGTAATTGGTTGGGCAACATGACGTACTCCAAACTTCTCTAGGGCAGAAATTAAATATTTCAAATTGCCCCACCGACTGTCGACAGTGTCTATGCGTCACCGGTCGCTGTTGCTACTTGCCTCGATCCAAAGGAATTATTTGAGACATTATTTGTCAACCTCCGCTCCGCTCGCTATGGCTACCGTTGAATCAAAATATGAACCACACGACATGGAATTCCGTCGCCTTGGCCCTGCGGGCCTCAAAGTATCGGTCTTCTCGCTCGGTGGTTGGTTGACGTACGGTGGCACCCAGAAAGGATCTATTGTGAAGGATTGCATGCAAGCTGCCTGGGACAATGGCATCAATTTCTTTGACACTGCCGAGGTCTATTCCAAAGGCCAATGTGAAATTGAAATGGGCCAAGCTTTGAAGGAGTTGAGCTGGCCGCGAGACGAATTCGTGCTGAGTACCAAGGTATGCGAGCGTATGGGAGGTATAATGACTATGTACGAGATTGACGTTCGTGTAGGTTTTCTTTGGTACTGGCAGGAAAGAACCTAATACCCGGTATTCGTTATCCCCCTTCGTTGAACATGCCAGCAGTGCTAACGATCTTGGTAGAGGTCTCTCAAAGAAGCACATCGTCGAGGGCTTGAAGAGCTCGCTAGAGCGTCTTCAGACTCCATACGTCGATATTGTTTTTGCCCATCGTTTCGATCCCGAGTACGCAGATATTGAGCACTTGTCTTCTCGTAGCTTTTGCTAACGACTGCTAGCACCTCTATGAGAGAGATTGTGGAAGGCTTTACGCAAACGATCCAGATGAACTTGGCCTACGTGAGTTTGTCTTGCAACATCAGAGTAAGCCCATGTATGTGCTATTGACACTACGCAGTATTGGGGCACAAGTGAATGGTCAGCCAAACAAATTGAGGAAGCGAGCGAAATTGCGGAGAAATACAATCTCATTGCGCCTATCGCTGAGCAACCACAGTATAATGCGTTCCATCGCGAGAGATTCGAGCAGGAATACGCGCCGTTGTATGAGAAGTTTCAGTATGGCACCACCATATGGTCTCCTCTCGCTTCAGGTCTCTTGACGGGCAAGTATGAGAATGGAATACCCGAAGACTCGCGTTTTGCGAACAACAAGGCATTCTTTGAGGACTCGATAAAGAAATTAAGCACTGAAGAGGGAAAATCCAAGATTGAGAAGGTGAAGCAGCTTCGCCAAGTGGCTGAAAAGCTTGGAGGAAATACTACCCAGCTCGCTCTCGCGTGGTGTGCCAAAAAGTAAGTGCATATGCATCCAGAGTTTCCTCTCTCGGAAAGTACTTCCTGCATGTGCTAACTGCAATGCAGCAAAAACGTCAGCACTGTAATCCTGGGCGCAACAAAGCCCCAACAGGTGCATGACAATTGCAAAGCCCTGCAGCTGCTCCCAAAGCTTACCCCAGAAGTCATGGGTGAGATTGAGGCCATCCTGCAGAACAAGCCAAAAGCTTCACTGTAAGCAGGTGTAGGATTACTGTGAGTTGGCGTACGCGCTGGGGCTCAGCCAGGATTGTAGATGAAAATACAAAACGCTATACTTCTAGCTGTTCCCTCGGATCCAGCAACAAGCGGGGAAATCGTCTCATCCCTGTTGGTGCTCGAGGAAATGCACTATATGACAAAAGCGTTGATATTCAGTCGTTCGACGTCACCGGATGGGAAGAAGGAATCTAACCAACGTGAAAATAGAGTCGTCAAGTTAGGATAAAATTCTTAGAATCGCCCTATCCCCTCTGCAGGTTACCACATACTACGGAACATGACGTTCTGATTTGGGTAGATATCCGCACTATCTTGACTATCTTCTTCGTTCTAGCAACTGACTTGACAGGTTAAACTATCCCTGTGGGTGCTTCGTAGCAGGCGCTAATATCCCGGAGAGCGGAGAAGATATGTGTTCACATCAAGTGACGTTAAACTTCCAAATCATGCTGGCAAGGATCTCAATAAAGCTGGAGTGCATGCAGGCACGTTCATCAGATTCACGCGGGTGATGACACGCAGGGATAGTTCCTCGCGAGCAGGGCCTCCATGATTCGTAAGAGCTTCGTAAGAAGGAAGAGGTTCCCTAAGGAGATTTGGCAATATACACAATGGGGGTGATTGGCTTTCCCCGCAAATTCCCAGACGCTGAGGGCCATGAGGGAACAAAAATAGGGGACTGTGGCCTGAGAGCACAGGATGGCACAGATGAATGGCGTGTTGGCGATTTAATTGAGGTTGGAGACGAAGATGCAGATCGCATGCCCAGCTGGTGCGCGCCAGAGCCAACAGAGGTCTGGAGGGACGGGGGGCCACCGGCAGCCCAGCCATCAGCTCAGATCTGCGATGTCTTTCAGGATTCGGGTTAAGAATAATAAGCCTGCACTCGTTCCTGTTCTCATGTCCGCTCTCTTCAGCTAAAGCTTCAGCGAACTCCTGCTGTTGCACATCCCATCTCTATCTCCATCTTGCTCCGCGGTCGTCCGCCCATCCATCCCGCCGTCCTCCGACTCCCGCGTCCCCGCCGGCGTGCTTCCGTCGTCGCAGTCTCGTCGTCGACTCCGTAGCATTGACATCTCGTCCACCCGCGATCCGGTCGTTGCATTGGCACGCTCCAGCGCCCCATGTTGCAAGATTCCAAATAGCCGTTTCTGGGGCTGTGCAAAGTTTTACACGTCCCTTCTCGCATCCATCAGCGTCAACGCTTTCCGACTGCATCTGCCTTGTAGCCACTATTGATCCGTTTAACGTCCGAGCCCTTCTACTTAGTTCTAGCATCGTAAGCATCGGTTGCTGTTTCTCCCATCTCTCCTGTGTGTTCCCATCTTCTCTAGACGGTACCTCCCTTCTGCCCAACTGTTTGACTCGCACCTGCGACGCGAGAAGCACCACTTGCTGTCTCAATTGTGCGCCAACCGCCTCGCCCACACGAGACCTACTTCGACTTTCCAGAACGTTGCCTACTATACACTCACACACACACATCTGCAGCATGCTAATTATTCTGTAGCTCCGATTCTACTCCTTGTGTCCTGTCTAAAGCCTCAACGCTCCTGCTCGGGCTCGTATGTTTCGCATGTTCGCAAATTTTGCAGCGAACTCACTCGCTTCCCAGCAATTAACACACTCAACCACTCGACCACAGATCGTTCACGACGCACTGTTGCAGTGTTTAGTATCCAAGGCTGCTTTTTGATCAATGCGTGCCTTATAGCATGGCAACTATCTCACCAGACCCCTCCGCCGGGGACGCAAGATACCACAATGGTTCTGGTGAGTCCCAGTCTCCTGTCATCCCTGCCGCTTGGACGCTTTGCGTTTGATGTCGACCATGTTTTGTCCTCGCCTTGCGACATGCCCGGTCTCTTACTTGCCCGGTTCTTCTTGGCGCCCGTTAAAGCTTCCGGTATTGGTCTACTTTGCTACATTTGTTTTCCGCTCTCAGCTTTTTGTCCAAAAACACTGCGCAGAGACAGCACAAGTCTCGTCAAGTCACAGTGGTTCGAGAGCAGCATAATCGCATATTGCTCGCCCAAGTCGGCATACCCGCTTGCCGAACGTTCGCTTCGGCCGCATAGATTGTTCGGTTCTGGCCGTTGGCCTCACCTTTCTGCACCACGAGCGCGCAATACATATACAAGCCCGTGCAACCCTCACACTATGTCAAAGCTCAACGAACACACACCTATTGTAATTTCTTTTACGTCCTGTCCCTTGCCCACTTCTTCTACCTTCATCGATGTCGCATAATCGTTACATGTCGTGGTCAGACGTGCTAACCATGGCGCCCACGTACCCTCCGTCTGGAACGGCCGTCGAGTATCCTTCGCCAGCTTCTCGTCGCCCATCAGAGTGCTTTTCTGAGATGAGCAGCAGTCGTCGAGGGAGCTCGGCGGGATTTGTTTCGGATATGGAGAGTAAGGGCCAATGGCAATCATTAGGCAGCGAATCAGCCAGTTCTAAGAGTCCACTTGCCAATTTTGGCTTCTTTAAGAATCTCACGGGGGAGAAGAAAACGACACGAGGTGTGCGGCTAGATCTTCTATTAGACATGGCGGGGCTAACCATTTCATTAGATGGCCAACCACCAAAGAGGAGAGGCCCTAAGCCCGACAGCAAGCCTGCCTTGACCCGTCGACAAGAGCTCAATAGGCAGGCCCAAAGGTAATATAATCACCAAAGCGCAGGGTTAAACAACACTAACGGGGCAAATAGGACGCATCGAGAACGGAAGGAGATGTATATCAAGGCACTCGAACAAGAGGTACTACGCCTAAAGGAATCTTTCTCCAACACATCAAGAGAACGGGATGCATTTGCTGAAGAGAACCGGAGACTGAAAGAACTCCTCATGGCCCACGGAATTTCCTTCGATCTTTCTAGTCCGGGCAACTCTGGGCTGCACCCCGTGGGAAGCTCGACATATGGTGGCAGCTCCACCGGCAGCGTGTCAGGAGGCTACGGGCCTGGTTCTAACTCGACTGGCTACACATCACCGCCGTCTATGCCAAGTCAACCGCCATCAGCAATGCCAGGGGGTGGACAAGTAGTCCCTCCGCAGCAAGTTCGGCAAGCCAACGGTGCATTGGACTATGATCAAATCGGGATTGATTTCGTCTTAACGTACGATCGAACGCCCTATCTTTCTCCTCCACCCCAGCAATAGTCTCATCTTATTCTTCTTCTACTCCCTCTTTTCTCCATCCAACTCCACCCTCCACCTGTACGTCAAGCTCAGATCGGGAGGGCCGAGATATATCTTCCCGTCGCCTTCCCCTACCGTTACCACTCTTTTCTGACTCCTCGTTTGCTCTCCAGTCTAGAGCGCCCCTGCATGGACCATATGCAGTTCCTCATGGTACGGGCGAACGATTCCGAATCCGACGTAAGCGGCCACGCCCTCATGGCCTCCTGTCCGCCCGAGTCGCATATAGTCAACAGCCCACAAGAACAATATCCGCATCAGATGCCAGACATCGCAATGCCAGACCTATTGAAGCTGTTAGACCTCAGCAATCGCCTTCCCCTCGATGGGGAAATCACGCCCATTATGGCTTGGGCTATGATCCTGCAGGACCATAGGTTTCATGAATTGACGACCGAAGACGTGGTGGCTATCAAGAACGACCTTCTGGCCAAGGTTCGCTGTTACGGGTAAGTGCCTCTTAACATTGAACATGTTTGGTGGGTTGCTAATTGAGCTTTTAGGTTTGGTGCCGTACTTGAAGAGTTTGAAGTCCGCGATGCCCTTATGGCTGTTCTCGCCGGGAAGGGCGGTAATAATGCCGGCAATGCTTTTTAACCTTTTTCATTTCTAATCTTTAATGTATGCCGCTCGCTCGAAATGTTGATGATAATACGACGGCGGAGATGGCGACAAAACTCAATTCACGTCTGGCATGACTTAAGAAATTTTAAGATATAAGAACAGTCGATATGATATTGGAATCGTTCAGGTTTATAATTGTAGTGCCAAAACGTGTCAACTATATAACCAGGACGTGAGTGTACTCAACCAACGACGGAAGGTCAGATCCCATTGTCCTTCTTCTCGACATCACCAACCTGCACAAAAGGGTATTCTCGCCCTGCTAAACCATCGTGACATGTATCAGCATGCTGGTATTGCGTCACTCTACTGCCCGCGCGGCCAGCAACTTAATCTTTGACACCAACGCCGGCTTTTCTAGCAGTTTTCACACTCTGCTGCTGAAGCGCCTCGTCCGATTCTTCTTCATTTGAGTCTCCTTCATCTGATTCCTCATCTGATTCCTCTTCGTCCTCGTCCTCGTCCTCGTCCTCATCCTCATCTTCATCCTTCTTGATTGACTTCTTGATCTGCTTCTTCTTATCCTCGTCCTCCCCTGACTCTTCTTCTTCGTCGTCTTCGTCTTCATCTTCATCATCCTCTCCATCTTCTTCCTCGTCATCTTCCTCGTCCTCCTCGTCCTCCTCTTCTGACTTGATTTTGCTAGTCTCTTTCGGCGGCGTAGTCCCTCCAGGTGTGGTTGCCGTTGGCTTGACTGGGGACAGTGGAGACAACTTCCCCTTCAGCCTCTCGTCCTCTGAGTCCTCTTCCTCGGAGCTGCTAACTTCAGGGATCGTCTGCTCCTTCTCAATCTGCTTGATCTCCTCGTCACTCGCCAAACTGATATTCGAGCCATGATACTGCTTGAGTTCCCCAGATCCGGAGCGGGGTAGTGGGGAGATAGGAGGTGTTGAACGTGCTGGTGACGCTTGGGATACCGCAACCGGCCCGGCATTGAGTGCGGGATTTGCGGCATCTATGTGCATGGACGGCGGTAGCTTCGGCTTCACGTTCCCGGGCTTCGGTATGCCGAATTTCTCTGCCTCAGTTTGTTCCTTGCCTTTCAATACTGGTGTAGGTGTGGCGGGGAGGGGGATCGAGCGCGGGGAAAGGATCCCTTCTGGGCCTGCCTTTGTCGGCGTGGCTTTGGAGGGAGTATTGACTTTCTCGGAAAGCAACGGATTTGTGGTTGTGATATGGGCGGGGGCAGGCTTCTTCGACGCAGCAACTTTGGCCGCTTGAGCACCTAGCTGGCGTATTGCCAGATTCTGCTCAGACGTCGCCGCTGGGACATTCTCCTTCGGTGCTGGAGCTGGTGCTGACAGGGGAGTGGTGGTGGAGGCGGATGATGCCGGCTTGGGCGGGGCTGTGGCTGCTGTGACGCCCAAGGCCTCCTTGAGCTCACCATACTCGTTCCATTCCTCGATCTGCTCGAGATCTCCCAGTACGTAGCCTTCTTTTACCAGCAGCGGTAGCTTTCTTCCGCCCCCCCTGCGCCCGTAGAGCTTGCGTGCTAGGTCATCTGTGGCAGTGTCGACGCCCTTGAAGGGGATCTTGTTCGCTTTCAGGATCGTCTCGATGCGGGACGTGGCTGTAACGATGTGCGACGAGCCCGCCGTGAGCGACGTGAAGAGGTAGAGTGTGGGATCATTGTCGTAGACGCTGAGATCTGTCATGGCTGTACTCCGAGAAGATACAGGGAGGTGCGAGCAGAAGACTAGATAGAGGGTGAAGAGCGTTACGAGATACAGTGCATCACGGTCGTCGGGGTGCGGTGTTTCATGGGTCTATGGTGGGGCATGTCCGGGCAAGCTCCGGCGGGGGTCAGGGACCTATCCTGACAAGGGTAGTGGATGCAATCATGGCAACCATTTTCAAAAGCTTAACTATCGAAAATAACGAAATGTCTTTTCGAACATTAACAGTATTGATGCAATTGCGTAAAGCACTCTGGCAAAGCATGCCATTCACTGCAGCTCCCTTGGCTTCGTCGTTTCCATCTCTTCGACGGCTTTGGGATCTGGCACAATTTCTGATCCACTATCGTTGCCTTTGACTTCTTCGCCCTCGACCATGTTGCCCTCGCGTCCAAGCATCATATGGTCGATATTTACCTTTGGCCCCTTGAACCATTTGCGCGCAGAGACGAACCACCAAATGGTCACACCTAGCATTGGTCCTCCATATACCAGGCAGGTCCAATTCATAACATCGGGTCTGCATCTATCATTAGCATTTTGCGTTCCAGAGAAGTCACGATAGTATCGCAACTTACGTCAAATCAGCGCCGGTGCTGCTAGGGAGGCAAAGGATGGGGACCATTAGAGCAACGAACGCTGACGCAACTACACCAATTGGTATTGAGAACTTCCCTAAGTTCCACGGACCTCAGACAAGTTAGCATCCCTTTGTTTAGTCATGTGTATGGGTTTAGCAACCAACTTACCGGCTCGGAAGCGATTGCCCACGAAGAACACTCGGATGAAAATCGGTGTGGTGAATGCTATTCGCATGCATTAGCAAAGACCGCTCGCCCGAAATAACAAGTTACAAGGCAAATACTTACCAACGAAAGCTGCAATGGCTCCAATGGAAAACAAAGCTCCCACCGCGAGGGCCCCACCAAATATGAGGAACTGTTGGAATGTACATCAGCCCCAAGTCTTCGATCCAACGCACGAAAGAAACACTTACCAGCAACAGAATGCCAATGACGCAGTTGAACCAAACCGCATTAACAGGTGTCTGTGTTGTTTTGTTGACCTGCTTCCAGTACTTAGATAGCGGGAAGCAGTCATCTCGAGCATACGCGAAGGTCACTCTGGATGCGGCAATCATGCAACCTTGGCCCATGGCGAATCCAGCGATGATGGTAAGAGCAAGAATTGCCAAGGTGATCTTCTGTGGCATGCACTGCATAAGATAGGCTGCAAAAGGTTGCCCGAGATCTGAATCCAACACGCTCTCAATATCAACCACTGTATACGCGACAACAAGTTGGAGAAACCATCCGAAAAGACCACCGGTACCAGAGGTCAGGACAATTGCTCTGGGGGACGCCACATTAGCATTAGAACACTCTTCTGCCAGATGAAATGGACTATCGTAGCCGCTCATTGTCCAGATCACGCCGATGAAACTCATCAAGACGGATACTCCGGCGGGAAAACTGGTGCCCTCATAAATTGTTCCCCAGACCTCGCTCGAGGGAGTGAACTTGGGGAGGCCACGCGATACCCGGTCGGTACCGGCAGGGATCAGAATGATGACGATGATCAGGGCGATGAAGTTGAAGGTCGAGCCGCCTGAGTTGACTTGCGCAAGCCATTTCGTAGGGAAAGAGGACATGACGCCGTGGATCAACATGATAAAGACTGTTAGGAGAAAGGTTTGATAATTGGTGGGCACGTAGTCAGGGTTCTGGATAGAGCCAGCTGCAAGGATCATTGCAGCCACTCCATAGTCCACTAATCCGACCTGGTCAGCTTAAGGGTAGGAGCAGAGTCTATCTCTACAGCACATTGTCGCCTACTACGGCAATCAAGAGGAAGGATCTGATCTGGACACCTCCACTTTCCACAAAAGGTACCGACATGCAGGACAAAGCTTACCAGACGGTGCAGCTGTCACCTGAGCTAGCCAATTGCTCCAGCCGGTAATCCACGCCGCAAAAGGGCCCCATCCAGGTGGTGCTAGAACCGCAGAAGCATAGTAAAGTCCACCGCTCGTCGGCATGGAGCTGCACAATTCTGCCATGCTCATAGCAACACATTGGATGCCGATCATGGCTATAATCCATCCCCAAGTCATACCTAGCTCAAATTAGCCGTGCGAAGGGACAGGATCAATTACGCACTTACCCGCTGTCCCTGCATATCCCATTCCATAGAAAAGAGTCGAGGCGAAACTAGGCAGCAGGCCCAAAACGGCGAAGGACACGCAAAACGTCGTGAACAAGGAAAACTCGCGCTTGAATTCAGACTTGTAGCCCAAGGCGGCCAAGACTTCTTCGTCAGGGTTGAACTCGTGGGAGGGGTCGAAGGGAACATCCCCTCCTGGGAGGACAGAGGTCACGGGCTCTTCAGCTACACTCTTCTTCCTCTGTGAAGCGGACTGGATACTGATTCTCGGCTCAGTAGCCATGGTGTCGCGATAATAACGGGGTTGATTATCCAGGGTGGCGGACAGTGAGAACCACGGGAAGCCAGCTGCACTCATTTATGTATGCGAAAGTCCGTCTGGACGAGCTGTCGGATACGGCAGCTCGATGCAGACCCAAGTGCGGGCAGTGGCGCTGCCCACGCTGCAGCTGGGGGTAGCCGAGCGAAAGAGATAACTGTGCGGGCAGCAAATGACACGGTACGAGGCGTGATAAGTCGGGCGTTGTCTAGGACTTCGAATGCCCAAGGGCTTGAGTTGCGACGTCTTATCAGTGGCAGTTTCCCACTACCTCGTCTAGCCCGGCCCCGGAGGACTTCCAAACGGTAAGAAGCTTTGGAGGGGCCCCAGCATGTGGAACCTCGAGTGCACATCCGACGTCAACCAGCATCGACAGAACCGGGCGACCGATCTCACTCGGCTGGACTCTCCCAAAGAAGCAAGTGAAGATACAAATCCCAGAGTCCTCGCACGCGTTGCTCTACTTCCCCATCTCACGTCGCGTGCACCCGTCATCTATCTCCTCCTTAGTCGCCGCAGCCAAATTGCTAGCAAGGACACTAGATTCCTGAAACGTAAGAGACACTTGCATTCAGTAATACCCTGATCCCCCGGGATACTCTGCCTTCGTGCCTGGAAACGCACCAACAGGGGCGATTCCTCTCTCCTCCTCATCGCCGCTGTCCTCTTCGTCTCCCTTGAACGCGGCATCACCGGGATCAGGGGGAGCCCTCATCCGCACGATAGAGTCCTCGTCCAACGCTGGCGTGACAAACAGCTTAGCAGCGTGATACTCTCTTCCCGAGGGCATGCCTGCAAGTAGAGGTTCGGATGGCGGTATTAATTGAACCCCCATCTTACTCGAGTCAGCGAAGAAAAGCACATGAAGGAAGGTGTGTACACATACCGTGTCGTTCATCTTTACCCACTTCTGCAGCAGCATGTCAACTACCCGTCCTTCCTCGAACTTGCCAGCATCTGTGCCCCAGCCCTCCCCTTTCTCTATTTTCCGATCCTCCCTCTTTACTTGCCATTCCTTCTTGAGCTTGGAGAGTCCGGAGGCCTTCTTCTCTTCCTCGGCACCCATTGCGGCGAACCCTAACTCCTTCGTTGCACCGCGCAGCCATGCAATTGCCTCACCTGTCTTGCCAGCCAATTCTGCGTCAATCCCCAAGAACCGGCATGCCTTGCCCTTGGCTGTCCGTCGTAGATCATCGACATATTTGACCAGGCTCTCGTGAACCTTGACTGATCTTCCTAGCATAGCTTGGGCCTTGGACGCATGTTCAGAGGCCGCCAGACACAGGCGAGCGAACAAATGGGCTCGAACCTTTGGGATCTCGACGCCTTTGAACATCCAATCTTTGCTTTGTTTATTTCTATCTTCTAGAACGACAGCGGGGTATGGATCGTCTTTCAAGACTGTGATTAGCGTAGCCTCTGCCATTGTGAGCTCGGCCAATGCCCCAAGCAGGGGAATCGTGATGTCGACCGCTACGGGTTGAGTATTCCACTGCCCGGCTCGATTCACAAGATACGTATGTATAGCATTTGCCTCAAGAAAACTTCTCATCGAGGCACCTATGGCATTTGCCCTCTGCTCGGGCGTTGGAAGAGTCGCGTTGTAGAGGGTGTGTAGATGTGCGCGAGCCTGTAGGCTGTGGGCGTATGCCAGCGTAGAAAGAGCAAAAAAGAGCTCGCTTTCAAGGCTTTTTAGCTTGATCCTTGGAGGCTCTCGCCCAGGCAGAGATGCCGCAAGCGTGGCACGCCATTCCACCTCGAGTTCTTTAACCAACACCAGGTCGATCTCCTCGCCTGCGCAATGGGTGCCACTCAGGCCTGCGTCCAGCGCAAACAGGTATGGGATATATTCGCTGAGGACTGAGTGCACCGTGGGGAGATTAGAAGCTTGAGAGGACGGCGGGAGGCGCTTGTGTTTCTTCAGGGCGTCTCGGACGACCCCACGAGCAGTGGTGGCGCAGAGGGGCAGTGATGGGTGGGTGCTGCTGCTGAAGAAGTCGGTGAATGAAATACTCGAAGTTGTTGGTAGGTTGAAAGGAAACGGCATGCTGTTTGATAGATCGGAATTGGCGCTGAAGTCTCAACCCGGCTGAAGCTTCAGGACTCTGTGCAAGGTGGAGGGGCGGTGGTGGGGCCAGTCTGGAGACCTGTCTTGGCGTGCGTGCCATTGGGCCCGGCGTGATCCTATTTTCTAGATCAGGGGTGCTGCACAGGCTGAGAGTTCGCATTTTATTTCGTATGAAATGCATTTGCTACTGAATAATCCATTTGGCATGCACGACGCCTTGTCATCGAAGGGCCGCTAAGAAACACCTCAGCTCCATTCCCTGGAGCACGACTCTGCAGCACAAGCATGCCCCAAGTGCATATATTTACAATTTTTCCATTGCCACGACTACTAAGCATCACTGGTCCTTTGGGAGGTAGTTCTGCTGTGCGAACAAGTAGCCCTTGATCTTAGCATCCTTCAACAGCTCGAAATATCGTTCTACACAGTCTAAGTTAGCAGAACTTCATGATGCAGTTGTATCAGAGTGGCTTTGTGCTAGAACGTCGCATGCGAGTAGCTGTTGGCCGGGATCCGTACCTCTGAGATGGCCGCACTTCTCCAAGTGATTGACACCCTCCCGGTAGTAGCACTTTCCCATCTCCTCGCGCACCAACCTCGCCATCATGCTCCTCACCCATTGTTCACGAATGATTGCATCTTGGGCAGCCTTGAGGGCCTGATTGTCGTCGAAGTCGACGCCTTCGAAAGTGGGTGGAACTTTGGGCTTCTTAGCCAGGAAGAGCTCGGATTCGGGTGTCGGCATGTTGGTGGTGCGCTTCAATGCGCGAACGATCGGACGCAGATAGGCTCGTGTGAGTAGGTAGTTCGTCTCGTTGCGTTGGCCAATTGAGGTCGGGATGCGGCGTTGGAGTGTTGAAGAGGGTGGTTATGCTGAGCTCATGGATCGGTTCGAGGTGCCATCTGCGGACAAGCTTCCTCGCACGTGACCCTTCCCAACTGTCTCTACTCACCTTACGAACACATCCCATTCTACACTATTTCCAATACAAACAAAATAGTTTCCATGTCCAAATACTCAGTATGCCATTCAACGCCCAACTCTCATACCTCCAGCAGCAGGACTCTTATTCCGCCCTTTTCCCCATCTTCGTCAAAGCCCCATCAACCCATGAAGTTTTCCAACGCCTCTCTATTCACTCCACTTCTGTATCTCGGGGACTAAGCTAATATATTTGACCTCCCATTTCCATTCCTCGACTCTCACTCTATTTTTGCTTTCCTCCAACTTCATTCGCTCTTTTCGAGCCCCGATCCATAGGGGGCAAGGGTGTGGGTTCTGTATGTTTGGAAAGGATGACCTAGTTTTCTGGGGCATCCATTCCCATGGGTTCGGCTTGCGTCCTGTTTATCCCCATCTCCAAAAGTTTATGGAGTGGTACTTAGCTCATATGTTTCTGGAGCGGTGTTTGGCTCACATCCCTTTGTCCGCTTGCACTGGCAATGATGGTGAATGCAGCTCTCCGCCGTGAGGAATTCGCTTCACTCACGAGAGAAGATGATCAGGCATAAGATCCAGAAAGCGTGAATGGCATTTGTTTGGAGCCATTGCGAAACTACGCAGAGCTATCAGGAATTCTGCCTCTCTGACTCAACAAGAATAGCCCATTATCCAGTGCACAACGCAATGCACAACATATTCATCATCTATTACCGTGCTCATGCAAAATAACCCAAAAAGCTAATAAGGAGCGCCTGAGGGTCAGATTTTGATACGGTTTGGAAGACTCTTATAATCTTGTTACGTGCCTGGGGATTAACGTTTGATATGGTTAGAAGACTCATAAATGTATTAGTGAATTGACTCGGAACAACGGAATTGAACGCACACACTGGCCTTCTATTAAGGTTCAGTTGTAAGGACCTTAGCCCTATACCCTTCTATCAATGTGTTATTCCGAATTCTTGAGAAACATTGAAAATTTTTGACTCGTATAGACTAGAAGGATGACATTTGGGGGAGTGAAGGAAAATGGCGGCGTTGAAGACTTCGACGAAGTTTGAAGGACGTACGGTTATATAACAGATTAGAGATGAATTCACCATGCCACTGTCAGGCTCGAACGTTTCAAGAAAATCCAAATCACATTACAGCAGTCACCTATCTACATGCAGTTAAGGGTATAGTGCTTCAACCAAAGGAAGGACATAAATCGTAACAATATAACCCACCACTCAAACATTGATTACTTCATTCATTCCCAGGTCGCCTAGCCACGCTTAGGAGCCACATATCTCTCCTTTCGGCGGTGCCCGATGCAAGTCTCAAAACACCAGAGGAGGAGCGTGATGAACATGAGAGCAGTCGCTGCCCATGTTATCGCTAAGAACCTCCCACCGCGATGTGCTTCGACGCCGATTTCATTGCCATACTTGTTGATTAGGTGTGAGCCCTTAACTATGAACGCAGTCACCTAGACTATGTTAGCCTGATCGGTGTCTCTAATGGAGGATTCCAAGGGAAACAACATACAATCGCACTGGCCAAACCTATGGCAATAAAAGCTACGGAAGCCACCATAACGTTCAGACAAGCTGCCATTCTACCTGCAGCAATCAGGGCCGGGAAAGCGGCAATGAGGGCTAAGAATATCAGGCCAATTGAAATGCAATAGAGAACGAAAACCGTCTCCTGGAGTATCTTAATAGCATCGATGCCGTTCTGAATGTCTTTTGGCCACTGAAGATCATCTAAAGTAATGTCTACGCCGGACTGATTTAAGCTTCGCTGTAGGGCTTCGGTGGGGTCGAAATGGAACATCGCGGTGCGATTCGAGCATCTGGTCACGTTCTTATGGATGTCGCTACTGGAGACTGTGGCGTTGGCGAGAGGGGTAGGAACGTAGTCCCCGTAGCAATAGTCAAGAATATGCGCACTGTAGAAATCGTCCACACCGAGTTTTTCTGCCAAGTCGCCGGCGGCGTCATTAATTTTGTTAGAGATCGAGTTGGTGATATTATGGAAAAGATTAGAGATCGTGTTGTCCGAGTTCCCAGAGGTAGAACTGTTCAGGAGATTCTCTCCGATGCGGGATGTGTTGAGCTTGAGAAGTTAGCATTGATGAAGCCAGGTAGTTGGCATCAAGAACCACCTAAACTGGAGGGACTTACAGTAAGAAGATGATAGTCTTCCATAAAATTCTCCTTATTGCCTGCGAAGAGACAAAGGAATGACAACACCAAAGCTGCCGTGCAGCACAGGGCTGGAATTAGAGCCGACAGGCGCATGTTGAAGATGAGTGAGTTAAGGTAAATGTATCGATTTGGATTATGGTAGAGGCTGCTGGCAGATTGGAGGGTAGAAAGGGAAGTTCAGGGCGCGTCGAGGTATAAGTTCTTGACTGGAATGCTTCACGTCACTTAAAGAAGGGAGCCAGTCAAGCTTGATTGCTGCCACTGCCATCCTTCCACCGAATGCAAAAAACCAGATATTAAGAGATCTTCACTGAGGCTTAACGCATACGTGCCTCTCCCGAAGCCATCAAAGGCTAAAGGGTTTGACGTGGACTGTGGGCCAATGAGGCAATATCGTCAATCAAGCTGTGAAGCAACACGCGTCATTGCGCCGGGGTCTAAGCACGTGAGGGCACATTTGTTCGCTTACGCATGCCCTGTTGCGCCACACGTAAATGGCGAGAGTGAACACGCCGCCGTCATAAGGCAAACGAGAATAGGAAATGGCTAAGACGCTCTAGGAACCGCCTTTGAGACGCACCGTGACTGCACTGCCACTGCCACTTCCAAGGCCGCGCAAGGTGGGCGGAGGAAAGGCAAGGGAATGAGAAGACAGAGTGTACTGAAGAGACGCTTGAAAATTCTTGACTGAACAGACCTTCAGTATATGGAAAGAAGTAGTGCGCAGCCCTAGCACACCCACTCTGGAGACGATTAGTGACTTTGCAAAGCGGGTAAGGGGTGATCTAAGTAGTTTATTGTTGGGCGTCATTACTGGGAACAGCGTCCCTCTTTCGTTAAGACGTCTATCATTCGTCCATCACCACATAAAAATCGTCAAATGAGTAGCCTTTGTTCGAATGTTTCCCCGGGCTAATTGGCGAATGTAGCCAGCAGAAACCGCGCCAGCCCAGTGCCCCGTCACGAAACCGAAATACAAAGTAGAAGCGCAGGACAAAACCGCCTTTGGAGGAACGCGATCTAGAAAGGTGGTTTCTTCGACGCTCGCCGTGATTGTGTTGGCTGTGCCTCGCCTAGTCCATCGGTGAAAGGAGAATACGGTGCCGCAAGTGCGTGTGGTGGTACTTTCGTACCATATTGCGTCCGTGGCGGCTCGCGCATGTTGGGATACTGCCTCTGCTCATCATGCAACCTATCCAAAGGCTCGCCTGCTATGTGATACTTTGCCCAATTGACTGGAGGACATCGAATGATATTTTGAGGTTGAGGAATTGAAGGAAGCTGGGCAGCAGAGTCGCCTCTAGGACCCAGCGATTCTATACTAGCAGAATCTTTGCGTCCGTCCCCAAGCTGTGGCTCGCCGTCAACAACATTGCTACCAGCCAGGCTTGAGCCAGATATATTGGAGAGAGTAGGGGTGAGGATGTCGGCGCCCAGCTTGGAGTGATGCTCTCGCTGAGATTGGATTAAGCGCACGAATCTATGGGGATCAGACACGGCGGCGGATTTCAAGTCTTCTAACGTTCTAAGATCCTGTTTGCTCTTCTCCCGCTGCAGCTGGAGTAGTGATATGGCTGAACGTAAAGCTATCGCGTCCGGATTTTCGCTCTCTGATATAGGCACCGGAACCGGCCGCTGTCGAAAGGCTGCCGCGAGTGAGGGGGCCACCTGTGTGCGAGGCTCTGTGGGGTCGATTGGAGCCAACTGCGCGACGGATGCTGTAGGAGTAATAGGCGACACTGGCGGCCGGTCGGGAGAGCCCGACTCTGAGCGATGAGGATGGTTGGGGTGCGCGAGGCCATTTGTAGAAGAGGCGGGGCCGGTGTCGGTGGGCGACGGTATCGTCAGAGCTGGCATTGCGGCGAGGAAGTCTGCGTGGAGAGCCTTGGGTGGGGAGACTGCTCAGGTACCAGGACGTGATGAGTGAGCGGCGTTGTGGAGAACCCGCGGCCGTGGACGGGTTTAGCACAAGGGCGAGCAGCCGGAGCCTTCTTGCAGAAGAAATACGATTACGATATTGGCACTGCCGTGTGGCGTCAAGCCTTGTTGGGACTGTGGCGCCGAAGAGGAATCAGATTCCGATGCACACATAACCATCCCCTGCTGGCCATCTCCCATGTCGATGCATCCCATGTTGACCCCTTCACTCTCTCCGCCACTCCCGTCAGACCCATCATAATGAAGGAAAGACTGCAATAACTCTCCTTTTCATCCCCGACGTGCTGAGACAGTTACTATTACTACGCCGCCCACGTGCTGTAATTCTAGTACGCAGCCCGGAACAGCAGACAGGCCAGACTTGGTGTGAACTCCAGCTCAACCACGCATCCAGGGCGGCCAATGACGGTAAGTCGGGGGTCATAGCGACACGCCTCTCGCAAGCTGTCAATCCGCTCTCGAACGCAGACAGGCTGTCAAGCCGTGGTATTATTGGCAACCCTTAACCTCTCCCAAATTTGCCCTGCCGCGCTGTTTCTTTTTCCGCTGCCGCTGCCGTCACCCAGCAGCTGTGCCTTCCTCTACTATCAAATGTCTATTCCCTAGATCTCTCCGGCTCCATTTAAGCACTACTTGCTTTCCTTCAAGTCTCCTCTCCCCTGCCCCTGAGCTCTCTTGCCTCCTGCCCTCATAAATGTACTAACCGCTTTCACTCCTTGCTGGTCGCCATGCCAGTTTGCCCTTGAGTTGTACATCTGCTAATCACTCCCGGACGGCGGCGGCGCTAAAGCCTGTCCTTTACTGAAACAGTCGATCGGCAAGATCATCGCCGTTGTGTTGCTTGCCAGAATCAGAGTCTGCGCTTCTGGCTGCTTGGTAAACGCATGGCGCCTCCAGGGGAATTGTCAGCGCGGGCTGCGCCTCCGCCTCGAATGCCGAAGCTTGCATACAGAAACCGCTTTCCCACCGATCAGACATCGCTCTCTTCCACTGCCTCCGTTACCACTTCAGCTTCTGAAACCCAGTCCAACGACCCCTACCCAGATCAGCGTCTCTCTACTCCCAGCTCTACGACTACATCTTCTCCAGTGCGCCCCTCGTTCGATTCCAAGAACCTTACTTCACCCAGCCTGGCTTCCAATGTCTCGACACCGAGCTCGTCCAAATCACCGAAGAAGAAAGCTAATGCGGTTCTCGGCTTTCTTACGCTGAAGGAACCATCTCAGTTGGCTCTTGAGCAATTTGCCGAGCAGCAGCGCAAACAGGCAGCCGAAAAGGGAAGGAAAGCTAACCAGGTAGGATTGGGCAGCATATCTCCACAGAAGCTCCCCCCTACTGTACCTAAGGTCAACTCAAAATGGGATGGTGTCCCCGAATCAGTAAGAACAAGAGACTCATTCATCTCGAAAAAGAACAGAAATAGCATATCCACGCAAGCAACCTCAAGGCTCTCCAGTGTCCCTGTTTCCTCAGTATTTTCCCTATCTTCGGACGGCAGCCAGAATCCTCCGAACTCCATCGCATCTTCTGCAAACTCTGTGTCGAATGTACAACTTGACTTATCGCCTTTTCCGGGAGGGTTTAATAGTACAAGTCACCGTCGAGATTCCGGTCCATCTATCACATACACACGAAAATCCCTCCAACAGATGAGCTCCCTGTCTATGTCCTCCCTTCCAGAAATCACATACTTCTTCCCTGATAATCCGAATCCAACCGGTGCGCTACCCTGTTCGTCTCAAGAACTGGCTTCCCGAAATCTGCCTTCAGCCCCCTCAGCTATAACCATAGATGGGGAGGATGCAAAGTCAAGTAGGATCCACAGAGCGCCTCGAGTCTTCAATTTGGATCCAATCGAGCCTCTTTCTCGGGGCGATACTATATCGCATGGTGCAAACATTGACCCACTCGTCACACTTAAAATGGCCTCAAATCCTGATGGATTCTTAGCCGGAGAAGCCCAAGAGTTCAAATTGCCTGACGACGACGACGATGAGGGGGAGGAGGAGGAGGGTTCAACTGATGAACTGCAAGACTTCATTGAATGCGATCCAGTGACTGACCAGATCCCGACACCCTCTCTGGTTAATAAAACTAAACTCACCCCGTCAATTGGGACTCCAAGCCCGACGACAATGAATTTCAGTCGGCCGCTGTCAATACAAGTCCCGCAGATAGCTGCAGACGTTTCAAGTTTGTTAGCAATCACAACCAGACCGATTTCGTCGGAGTTGCCCACCGTGTACGAGGCCTCTTCAAGCAACGATACTATTGCTCCCTTGGCCAATCACGATGGTCCACCCAAAGACAGCGATGTTATCTCGATCGCTCCTTCGGTTACTCCCTCGGAAATGTCGGCTTCCTGGTATCGGTCACCTCGCGAGCGACTCGGCTTAGGTGGTCGCATCCGAAAGAATGACGTCCTACCCTGGGAGAGCCATGGCGAGGAACTGGCACCAGGTAAGAAGAAAAAGAAACCATTGTCTGCTGTCTTTACTAAAGACAATGTTTGAGATTTGGCAGGTCATTCCTCGAGCAGGCCCGAAGCAAGCACAAGGGTAAAGCCAAACGAGTGACCCTCTCATCGCCGTGGCTGCGCAAGGAAGGATCCTCTACAGAGCACATGGATCGAATTTCTCGCTTCCTGCGTTCAGCATTCTCTTTCTAGCGTGCTATGTTCATCGTTCAGTCCGCTCAACAACAACCGCCAGCCTTCCATTGATGTTTTCGAGCGAATGACCATCTTTCATGTATATATTTCTACTTATATGCGGGTTTGGGGAAGCTATGTCGACACTGATACCCTCTCGATGACCCTTTTTTATTTATGACAACTGTTTTCGACCTCCAAGGGGTGGAGATTTCAATCAGAAATAATGTCATGGTTCGCGTATGTAGCAACATACTCATATCATGAGTTAGGCAAAAAGGATGGGCTTTCTATAAGCAGGGATATAGGAACATATATACGCAAATGTTGTGCTACAATGTAGATGCCTATAGAATGAAAAGCCTTGCATGACATGACATATGAACAGTAAAGAGCAAACCTTAATTCCAATTCCTAACTTTAGAGGACAGTAAGTGAACGGTTATCTGATGTCTTGATTGATTCATCACTAGTTTCGTACGTCGATTTACAACTCATTTGCACCTTAGAACGTCAATAGGATGGATTCGGCCCGTTAAACCTCTTGCTGGTCTTATGGAACATGCCGATCAGACGCAACTTTCTGCCCTGAAATCCATCTGTCGTCTTCCAAGTTATGTGATAGGATGTCTTCGACCAGATGCGGACACAAGATCCACTACGGGGCCTGAGCGTTGCGTTCAACTTCATCCACAGCGTGAACAGTGACGAAATTGCACACAACGTCTGTCCTGGGAAATCTCGAGCCTGTAACTGTTTGCCTTCTAGGAAATCCGGCCACGGAGCAAAAGGACTCCCGTACCATACCTTTTCTTGGGATTAGTATAGATGTTTAACGTGCGGCAAGGCTTTTGCGCAGGTGCTGTGCTAATATCAACTTTGGGTTTATTTTCTCAACTGAAGCGAAGTTATATAAGTTATGGTAGGGGGATAGAAAGAACTTTTGATCTTGTATTCTACATTATTTTGGGACGTTGTCTATATATGTTATGTTACACTATACGTCGTACATTACGGATGTAGTTCCTTCCCCATAACAGCTATTTGTGATTATCCTCACACTCTCACATCCTTCTCCTTCGCCGCGTCTGCTGTTCCCGCCTCAGTATCAATTGTCAGCTCACCCCTACTCGCCAATTTACTCCGTCTCTTCTCCGCCTTCTCCTGCTCGCGTTCCAGCTTCTTCTTCTTCTCTTCTTCCAACCCAGTCTTCGTCTCTTCATGTTGTTTCTGCAATACATTCTTCGTAATCAAAAAGGACACCCCCAACCCCACCGCAGCAAACACAACATACAGAATCCACATAGTCGACAGACTATCCGCAAACGCTTTCCTCGCAACAGCTTTCTGGCTGTCAGGCAGTGAGGCAATGATCCTGACATTGGCGCCCGCAGAGCCGCCACCAAACGCGGATGCCGTCTGAGGTCCGAGTGAGGCTCGAAGCATGGCTTGCTTTGAAATCATTTGGTTTTGGAAGACAACGGAACCGACAACGATGGAGATTGCGGAGCCAAGGTTTCGGATAAAGCCGAAGGTGGCGGTTGCGGTGGCGATGTCGCGTTTCTGAATGGAACATTTCTTGTTAGTTGCAAATTTTCTGAAGTGTGATGGAGTGGCTCGTTAGGATGCGGCTATGCTACCTATGTATGGAGCATCCGACGGAGCGTGAGAAGGGTTGTAGCAATCTCTTTATCGATTTTACGACACTTGCCACCGTTCGTTCTATGTGATAATATGTAGGCACTAACTGCTAACGGCTTCGCTTCGGAATAGAAAGCAACATACCGGGACTAGCGATTGCAACGCTATAAGTGGAGACTGGAAATTAGGGCCAACTCCAACGCCGGCCACGATTTGGTATAAAATGATTTTTGCCCAGGGGGAACTAGGACCAAGGTTGATGAAGAGTCCAAAGCCTATGGTCATGAAGGTCATACCCGCCCATATAGGTGGAAGATACTGGCCAGTCTTTCGGATGAAAATCCCTGTAAAAGCGGAAAGGAATGAGAGCGACAGCGCCGTTGGGAGGAGGTAGACCCCCGATAGAATTGGAGTCGCACCGAGAACCGCCTGGAAATAAAGCGGGAGAAAATATGATCCCGATATGAAAACGAAGGCGTGGAAAAAACACACTCCGAGGGCGGCAAGATTCGAACGTTTTGAGAAGAGATCGAGGGGCATCAATGGGTATGGCGCAAGCCGGTACTCAACGACGAAGAAAAACCCTATCGTAATGACCCCGAAGACAATTAAACAAATGACAGTTGCAGATTTCCAGGGAAATGAGACTCCACCGAATTCCAGGCCAAGAAGGAGCATGGTTGTGCCCACAACCATTGTGAATGCGCCGAGCCAATCCACGGCTTTTAGTCCTTTGCGCAACGGCGTCTTTGGGGTGTGGAGATCGAGTATGAAGAGGATGATGAAGAAGGCTAGACCGTCTAATGGTAAATTGATGTAAAAACACCATCTCCACGAGACATTCTGCGTAAATGCACCTCCTACCACTGGTCCCAAGCTAGATGCAAGTGCCCAAACTCCTATGTAGATGTTAGTGAGAACACTTAAAGCAATAACGTCGACTACGTTGAAGCCATCCACCGTCATGACATAGTTTCTAAAGTAACCATTTCGATATAATCTGTGACGTTCGGCCCGGGAAAGTTGAAAGTAGACAACATCAAAAATCATACCTCCTATTATCCCAAAATATGCCCCACGTTCGCGCATCGCAAAAAGATCCGATATCGCAATGTTGACAAGCACTATCAACCCCCCTCCACCTATTCCTTGAACTACTCTTGCGGTGATCAGCATATTTATGTTTACGGATACGGCTGCCAGCAGGGATCCAATGAAGAAGATGACATTCGTCACAAGTAGAATAGGCTTGCGACCGAAGATATCTGAGACTTTGCCCCATATTGGCGTCGCTGCAGCATTCGCAATAAGATAGGCTGAGCCAATCCAGGTGTAACCAGCTGCAGAATGAAAGTGCTCAGAAATCGTAGGGAGAGCGGTGGTCACGATGGTTATATCGATGGCGACAAGGAGCACAGAAATGCCTAGGGAGAGCATTATGAGAGCAATCTTGAGCTTGCTCCTGTGCGGCTTCTGCTCTCCCGATGCCTCGAAGCCCGCAGGAGTTTCTCCTGCCAACTCCTGCGCCTCCTTTGTGGCAAGAGGCCGGTGAGACTCAGGGGTCCTCCCATCTATTCGCGACTGGCTCGAGGCTCTCGAGGACACATTCGGCATGTCGAGTTCCTTCTCTTTTTCCAGATCCGATGGTACGGATGTTCGCTGCTGCTCAGAGGGATTCATGGACGGCAGAGGCTACCATGTGAGAATGCCAAAAAAAAGAAACGGCACAAATGACGTGTGGTTGGGTGAAGGTGCTGTCGTCTGGGGATTAATAACTGCAGAGTCGTTCGTACATCACCAGAGGGCTGGGCCATCTCGGCACTCTCGCGTGCCGATGTGCGAAGCCAAACGGGCAACGGCAATCGCGAGGAATACGGTAAGTCTTTGTACCATAACCAACTGATAATGACGTTGATGAACATTCATATACGTATGTGCGAGAGAGCGCAGTGTATGCTGCTGGAGGAGATGTCACCGAGTGCGAAGCTGAATGTGACTGGGGACGTGCATGGCTGCACCACAAGCTTGTTTCTCTTGGCTTCTCCAATTATCATGCCATGGACGAGACGGGCCGTTTTGTGAGATAGGGACCTCGATAACAAGGTGGCATTCCGCTGTATTTGTCTTGCACCAGGCGTTTTCGCCCTCTCTAGCATGGACAACGGTGCTGCACTCCAGCCTCCCTCGACTAAGCTTGATAATTCCCCGCAGCACAACTGAGTTTCGTTTCTTCTGCAGATACGCGAGTCTGACATGCCGATAACTGGCGTGTCAAATGTGCATTTGCTGAATGGCCGATCAGGTCTTGTATCCTAGGGTGGAGAGTCAAGGAGCTTGATCGGATCAGATCGCTATCGCTATTGCTTGGAGCAGATATCTCGGCTTGCCAAATCGGGCTCACCGCACTAATGCGGGGAAGGCACGATGTTCAACGGGCGCGATGTCGTGCTCGAGTACACCCCGTGGACAGACACAAGAGTATCAGTTAACTGTATACAGAGAGTACCATATCTCCTTGCCAACTTCGGGTGTACGAGCGCCATCTTCACCAAACATCTTAGGGGCGGAAACTCTCGGCTGAGTCCTGGAGTACGAACGTTCGGCAGCGGACAGGATAAGGTTGCTTGCTTGGCAAAGTTTGCTGCACGTCGTTCTAGGCGCGTTCTCTAGCTCCTCAACACCAGCAAGTTTGAGTTCTGTCTGCCATGACGAACCGTGTCTGTGGCCATGCAGCCGTCAGCACCCCTCATCTTTGCAGACTGTCTCAAGGAGATATTGGTGAGTACTCGAGGTCGTCGTCCCTTGATATTTTCTAGTGCAAAAGCCTGGCCGCCTGGGACCGTTTATAGGCTAGCCACGCGAAGAGACGCAGCTGGATCAGCGGGCCCAGGCGCGGTGTTCGATGTTGGGAGCCTGCAATGCACCCTGTGCATCCTTCTGCCGATCTTCCGAAGCGAAATGTAATGCCATCACCCTCTCACATCTAGGGGCGTGTCCCATTTCAAAATTACGGGGCAGCTGTGTCCAGCTCAGCGGTCTCTGCGGCTGCGTGGTGCGCAAACCGGTGGACGAGCCCCCGCATTCACGCGCACAGGCGAACGCAGCGCCGCGAGCCTTTCACTCTTCGAGATCGCCTCGACAAGCTTTTGCCTTGGCGCACCCCAACGTCGCCCTCGCTCTGCTTTCGCCTGCTCTCGCCTGCCCTCGCTGCTTTTCACCTCAAAACTCTCCTCCCCACGCCCCATCCCGCATCCCGTGGTCTTGTGCCTCTTCTTGCGTCGACCTTGGCCAACTGCATTCCTGCACCTCCGCCTTCTTACCCACAACAACACCC